GAAACAGAGATATAAAAATCTTAATAGTTTTTAAAAAATAAATAAGTCTTTCTCAAATACATAATGAAAAAAGTGGGATCCAATATCATTATTTTAACCAGTTTAAGTAAAGGAAATCAGCTTTTGTTTAAACTTTTGAATAAATTTAGTTTTATAAGAAATTTGCAAATATTAGTTTTCTTGTTCATTAAACTATAAGCAAAATAATGCTCATTAATATATGTATTTTGATAATTTTCTTAAACATATTATTTTTACATATTATAGTAAAAATAATGTTTGTGCAGCTTTTTTTCCAAATTTTTTTTGTATTGTTTTTAAAATTTTCTTTTCCTGTTTAATAAATGCAAACAGAAGAAATTTTATATATATATATATATATAGATATATATTTTCTAGTTACATATTGTAGAATGGACGAAAAAGACTGCACATAATATCTATACCATTGTCTGTTAGCTACCTGTTGCTGGACCAATCCCATGAGAGACAGCAGTACTTTCATCAGTATCCTTATGTAAAGTTGATGGTTCATCTATGTCATAGTCAGAACTAACAGTCTGAGGAACAGCAGAGGTAACAGGAGAACAAGGATAATTCAGGGAAGAATCTGTACCCTCTGGCATGGAGGAAGTATTCTTGTTAAATGTCTGAAGATCATCATGGAACATTTCTGAGGAAATAGAAGAGTGCGATGGAATAGGCTGTTTTTCCTCCCCTTCCTTTTCCTTTATTTCTGACTGAAAAGTTGAATCAAGAGTAATATCTTTTTGTATTGGAAATTCTGTTTTTTCTACTTGCTGTTCAGAAGTTATTTGAGTTTTAACAATTTTTCTAATTGTAACTACTCCACTTTCACAAAAAGATGTATCACTGGCAGGAAATTCTGATATTTCAGGATCAACTTCTGAAGCAGCTAACATTTTATTTACTTTATCTTTTACTTCCTGAGGTAAAGATTCATATTCTTCAGTTCCTATCTGTATTGTTACAGATTGTTCAACTGACATTGATTCAGTTTTATCACCTCCTAATAATATTTCTTCTTCAGCATGTGGTGCTTCAGGTATTTCTTCAAAAGCAAGTTCATTTACATGAGTTACTTTCGTTTCCGCTTCTAAAGTGTCTGTACTTGATATCATAGTAAATTCTTCTCCAGATGCTTGAGCACTGTTAATACTTGATGACATAACTGAATCAGTTTCAAACTGATAAGTTGCATGAGTTGCAGTAGAACTGCTCGGGTCAATTGAGTCAGTGCTAGAAACCATGCAATCTCCTTTTCCACTCATATCATGTTCTCCATCTCTTCCATTTGAACTAGAATGACCTGAACCTGTTGTTTCTGCTTTTATGCTTTCCCCTTCACCAGTCAAATTTTCTGTACTTAAATGAGATTCTTCTTCTTGCCATTGAATATCAAAAGTTTCTTTAGTAATATCATCTTGTAATCTAAATTCTACTGGTTGTAACTGTTTCAAATGATCTATATTTGGGATGGAATGAAATTCAGTATCACAGGTTTGTTTGATTTGATCTGATCCATGTTCAGCTAAATCATGAAGATTCCATTCAGTTTGAAAACTATCTTGATCAGTTTCTTGAATAAAATATTTTTCTTCTTCAGATGGTGAAATTTTTTTGTCTTCACAGCCAATATCAATCTCTTCCACATCTATTTCTCTATCTTTTAAAGACTCTGTATCATATTGAGTGACTGTTGATGTAGAACTCCTTGGAAGAGATTCTCCACTTTCAACAGAATGGCCACTTATTGTTCTCCCGATAATAATATGTCGGGCAAGTGTTGCTGGACTTTCCAATTCATGTTCAGCTTGTTCTCGTTCAAGTGAAATTGGTAATTGAGTATCCAGCAATATTTGTGTTCTTTCTGTCTCTTTCAAGGAACCCTGATATTTTTTTGGAGATGGTGATTTATCAACAAGACTACTCTCTGTACTATCACTAGAAACTGTATGAACATGCTTAGCAGGAGACTTTTCTGAACTTAGTACAGCTGAACTATCATCAAATTTTTCAACATTAGATTGAGCTTGCCGAATAATTTCATCAATTTCACACATTCGTTTATCATAATCATCTGAATCTTCTGATTCTTCATGCTCAGCAGCATGATCAGACAGAGTTCCTTGACTTGCTTCTGATAAGCTTTCATGCCCTTCTTCAATTTCAGATAATTTTTCAACCACTGGTACTGATTCACTATGTTCAACTTCAATGCATTCTGTTTCCAATTTTTCAAATTCTATTAAAGAATTCATTGATACATCATCATGTTCTCCACTTTTTGTTACACTATGTCTTTCATTTGAATCACCAGATCCTTGGCTCATTCTTGATCCCATCGCTATTTCTGCTTCTAATCTTTCAAATTCTTGTAATGATGACACAGACATATCATCATGCTCTCCACTTCTACCAAAAAATTTACGAACACCTAAAGTATCATAACTGGGTGTACTTCGTTTGCTTTCGTCTATTGATACAGCAGCTGGACTATAATGCCTTTCATCTCTTTCTGCATCTTCAGTTTCTTCATCTTCTTCTTGATGTGTATATAATTCACCATAACCAAGACTGACATCATCATATTCTTGACCTCTTTCATATACACCATCAACAAATTCAGTTTCTTGATAAGAATCCTGCAATTTATCTTTCTCTTCAGTAAACTGATCCTCAGCCACATCTAAAACTTCTTCAGGAAGTTCTTTCTCAAACCCCATATTATATAAGTATGTATTCTGAGATTCATATAATGTTTCTTTAGTAACCAATAAGCCATTTTTATCTGCAGGCTCTCTTTGATCCTGAATAGAATCCGTACTTAATTTCTGAAATGATTCAGATGTTTTATCTTTTATAGAATCATCATCACAAATTTGTTCATCTAAATCATGGAGAAGATTATCATATCTTTCATCTTCAGGGGAGGTATCTATAGCTTCTGCTTTATCAGTCATATCAAACGAGTCTCTACTTTCTAACTTTGGTTTTTCTATTTCATAATCTTTAACCATTTCAGAATTTATATGAACAAAACCTTGGCTATGTAGAACATTCTGTTCACTTTCTGGTAAACAATTTGTTTCACCTATATCATCGTGTTGTATATCTGGTGTTTTCTCAATTTCTGATTCATGTCTATGAACATGTTGTTGCCATAAATCTTCTGTGAGTAATGATAAACTATCTTCTCTGGCCTGAGCTTGAACTTCTCCATCAGATATCCATTGTTCAGAAAATTCAACTGGAGGTTGAGATGAAGTTACCATTTCTTCAGAATCAAGAAATAAACATCTCTCAGAATTAAAGTCTGCTTGATCATCACTTATTTGCATATACTGTCCTTCAGCATCATAATTTTGAATTTGAGTTTCTTGGACATTCTGAACCGAAATATTTTCTCTACTGTCATCAAAAGGAGCATCATATTCAGGAATGTATTCAACTTCAACTGGACCATTTAATTGATGATATATTGAAGGTTCTTGAGCAGATTGTAAATTATCTTGAACAATGGCACTATGTATGGGAGAACCTGAGAGATCTAATGTGACATCGGAAACAGTGCTATCTACTCTAGTTACTGGGGGAGTTTCAGTATAAGGCTTAAAACAGGAGGACATCTGTTGGGAAATATGGATAGCAGTTTCTATACTAGAAGTCTGCCAAGTCTGCTCACTCTGAGTGGCAGAACTTTCTGATATAGAAAGTTCATCATGACTAAGTTGCTCAGCAACATCATCACTAAGTGCTGTTCCAACTTCCAGTTTATCTATTGCTTCAATAGACTGAGAAGGCAATTCTGAGCTCTCAGAGCATAATAAATATTTTTCACTTTCTGCTTTATCATTCTGCATCTCTGAAATAAGTTTTTCTTCTTCCACGCTTTTTTCAGATTTAGTTTCTAACGAATCTATTTGAATTGTTTCTTTTGATTGTACATCATATAAACCTTTATCAGAATCAGATAAAGGCTCTTGAGCAGCTTGATCCTGTAAACATTCTGCTAAATCATCATTTGTAATTATTTCAAAAGGACTCATGACCATCTGTATGTCTCTTTCACAAGGCCAAATCCATTCTTTTGCTGAAGATATATCACTTTCATTTGCTTGTAAAGACCAATCTTTGAGAAAAGGAACTTCCACTCCTTCCCTGATTATGCATTCCGGAATTTCTGAATCATATGGTTCTTTAAATCCAGCCTGGGCAGCAATTTCTTCTTCTAAAACTGGTGTATCTATTTCTTGCACTAGATCCATTTCTATTTCTTGTGCAGAAGGAACGAGTGTTTCACTGGTTTCTGAAGATAATTCCAAACTTGCTAAGTGTCCAGAACTTTCAGAATCAACTGAATATGCTGATTCTCTTGAACTATGACTGAGAGATGAGCAAGCAGTAGAATAAGATGTTTCTTGGGATGTTACTGCAGTTGTATAAGATTCAGATACTCCAATGGAAGTTTCCTGGGATGTGACACATGTTTCATATTCAGAAGATGGCTGACCACTTACAATTGTAACTTCAAATTCAGAAGAACATGGCCTACTAATAGCAGGAGTGTCTCTAGGTGTTTTCCCACTTTCTGAAGTTTCAAAAGAATAATAATGACTTTCAGTTTCACCAGAACTAGACCATGATTCCATCTCTTGTCCTCCTTGTTTATCTTTTTTAGATGCTGATTTTTGTCTTAAAACAATATTACTAGGATCCTTGACTCCATCTGAAGGTTCTGAATCACTTCTTTTATCTTCCCTGCCATCAGTTGTATATAAGGTTTCAGCAGTAACAAAGAGAGGTTGACTACTTTCCCTATCTGATATTTCTGAAGAATCTTGCCTATCTTTATAATGTGAATCTTCAGATATTGCTCCAGAACTATTTACGTCAGTTTCTCTGTGTGTATAATCAGAACTTTCTGATGTGTATGAATCAGTATGACTTTCATGTTCTGTTTTCATTTGATCAGATTCTAAAATATCACTTTTTTTATCTGTAGGTGTTTCATCTTGAAGCTGAGTTTCTGAACTTTTATATAAATCTTCTGATGTTAATTCCTTTTTAGTTTTTTCTTCCAAAAGTTCTTTTTTCATTAAATCCATTTCTTCTTTTAAAATATTTATTGGTTTAGTTTCTAGTTCTGAAGATGAATGATCTCTTTCAACAAGATCTTCATCAGATATTTCTGATGATACTTGTTCTAATGATGAGGGTTTAAATTTATCTTTTTCTGAAATAGAACTCTCTGAAGTAGGACAAATAGAATCGCTGTTCTGTGTATCCTTCATAGCATCATCTCCTTCAGATATAACTTCCTCATCATGTTCTACAATCAATTGTTTTTCTCTTGGAATTTCTTTAACTTCCTCATGCAATACAGTTTCAGTTTCTTCTTGAATAGGTGTTTCCCATGTAATTTGTTCTGTTTCTTGTTGAAGAGCATTTTGTAATAGATAGTCAGATGTTTTTAAAGTTTCAATATTAAATCCACTTTCAACTGCAGCACTGTGAACAGGAAATTCTTTCTGTTCTGGAGAAGCACTTTCAATATCTGCTTCTAATTCCTGTGATAATATTGTTGTTCTTATTTGCTGTGCTACTTTTTCTTCATGATCAAAATCTGGAATATTACTAATACCTAATACTTTTTCTTCAGGTGGATTTTCTTCAATAGATTGATCTAATTCTTCATTCAATATTTGTGATTTTATTTGCTGCTGAACTTTTACAGATAAATTAACAGTCATTTCATATTCATCTTTATCCTTGAACAAATTAATATCATCATCATCATCTTCATCTGCTAACTTAGAATCATCTATATGTAATTCATCTTTCTGAGCTGAGTCTTTGAACACAGACTCACTAGAAGATTTTGAAATAAATTCTGAATCATGAACCTGTTCTGAAGTAATTTTTGCTTTGATTTCATTTGAGGAAGATTTTTCGTCATCCATGCCAAAGGATGGAAGTAATACAGAATGAGAAGATTCATCAAGACCAACAGTTTTTGCTTGGATAGGAGAATCTTTGGAAGGGGAGGGAAGTACAGAATCTTCAGTTGTCGTCTTGCCTGCAGCGGTCTGCTGCTCTGGCATAAAACTTTCTAGAATGTTAGCAAAGACAAATATTAGTGGGAAAGGATAAGTCTGCCAAATACCTGAAATCTTATTCTTTGTAGTCAAACAAAATTTAATAATAACTTCTTTTTAGCCATGCATAAATAAAAAATAAAGCTATTTAAGCAATAGGAATAGATATCAATATTGCTTGGCACATACTGTACAAAAATTAGAAATATATATTAAATATACATTTATAACTGTTTGTGTTGTTGTAAAGCAAAATATGGTGCTGAAAATTGCATTAATCATACAGATATTAAGCTTTAACAAAGACATTTTAATAAATATATATAATATTCATGCAATTAATGAGAACGCTATAATTTCATCTACAAGCATAATTATTGAATGTAAAAAATACTATGAGAATGATAGATACATAATAAAATTAGGTTTTGATACGTTCTACATGAAAGTGTACTATTTGTGATCATAAAAATCAAAAAATAAAATGTAAAGTAATCAACACAACTTACTCTATATACAACAGAATAAAGAAAACAATTGCATGCTTAAAAATTTGCTTAATATAAATAAATTATATATCAATTTAAAAATCAATGTAGATTTATGTAATGTATTTTGCAACAAAATATGTAAAAGCAATTAGCAAGCAATATATCAAAGAAAGTGTTTTAATAGAAAATATTTGTGCTTGCATAATTAAGTGCAGAACAAAATATAACTGGTAATTATTAAAAATAATTTTAAATATGCATATAAATAATGAAATTATGTAATAATACAATTATAATTAAGCATTTGCAGCAATTAATAATAAGTAAAAACTTTGAAAAAAATGTACCTCAAATTATGGGTCAATTATACCAATCATCATAAGAGGTCAGTAGCAATTAAATAACTCCATTAAAAGAATCAAAACATATATTTGTCTACTAATAAAATATGTAAATATATAAAATAATTAAGCAATAGATATTAAATTAATTAACTTTTGACATATCTAAATGAGTTTTAGTAAGTTCATGTGTTATCACTATTTATCTGAAAGCAAAAAATAATTAATATATAAATGAATTGTATTAAAATATGAACAAACTTGGATAAAACACTAAACAAGTCAGTATTAAATATCTATTTAACAAAAAAAAAAAATATATTTACGTTTTCAATAAGTTATTTTTGTTAAAACTTATTGATTATATATTATAATGAGTATTTTATGAACAATTTGGAATATAATACTATTGATGTTATTTATAATATCATTTATAACAGTAATTCAGTAAATTTTTTGTTTTATCATTTACCTTTTTAAATATTAAAAATGAAATATGTATACAATCTTTTTATTTCTTTGGCAAATTTTGTGAACATTCTACAACTTATTATATAAATCAGTTAAATTTTAATTTATAATTTGAATTCTTAACTATACAATTTTCATTATTTTCTTAATTTCTATGCATTTTTTAAAATTACATTATACCATATATTATATTATAGAAGTTATTTCTAATGTATGCTTAAGATTTTTTTAAATATTAAATTCTGTTATCTTTCTATAAATAAAGTNAATCTCCTTTTCCACTCATATCATGTTCTCCATCTCTTCCATTTGAACTAGAATGACCTGAACCTGTTGTTTCTGCTTTTATGCTTTCCCCTTCACCAGTCAAATTTTCTGTACTTAAATGAGATTCTTCTTCTTGCCATTGAATATCAAAAGTTTCTTTAGTAATATCATCTTGTAATCTAAATTCTACTGGTTGTAACTGTTTCAAATGATCTATATTTGGGATGGAATGAAATTCAGTATCACAGGTTTGTTTGATTTGATCTGATCCATGTTCAGCTAAATCATGAAGATTCCATTCAGTTTGAAAACTATCTTGATCAGTTTCTTGAATAAAATATTTTTCTTCTTCAGATGGTGAAATTTTTTTGTCTTCACAGCCAATATCAATCTCTTCCACATCTATTTCTCTATCTTTTAAAGACTCTGTATCATATTGAGTGACTGTTGATGTAGAACTCCTTGGAAGAGATTCTCCACTTTCAACAGAATGGCCACTTATTGTTCTCCCGATAATAATATGTCGGGCAAGTGTTGCTGGACTTTCCAATTCATGTTCAGCTTGTTCTCGTTCAAGTGAAATTGGTAATTGAGTATCCAGCAATATTTGTGTTCTTTCTGTCTCTTTCAAGGAACCCTGATATTTTTTTGGAGATGGTGATTTATCAACAAGACTACTCTCTGTACTATCACTAGAAACTGTATGAACATGCTTAGCAGGAGACTTTTCTGAACTTAGTACAGCTGAACTATCATCAAATTTTTCAACATTAGATTGAGCTTGCCGAATAATTTCATCAATTTCACACATTCGTTTATCATAATCATCTGAATCTTCTGATTCTTCATGCTCAGCAGCATGATCAGACAGAGTTCCTTGACTTGCTTCTGATAAGCTTTCATGCCCTTCTTCAATTTCAGATAATTTTTCAACCACTGGTACTGATTCACTATGTTCAACTTCAATGCATTCTGTTTCCAATTTTTCAAATTCTATTAAAGAATTCATTGATACATCATCATGTTCTCCACTTTTTGTTACACTATGTCTTTCATTTGAATCACCAGATCCTTGGCTCATTCTTGATCCCATTGCTATTTCTGCTTCTAATCTTTCAAATTCTTGTAATGATGACACAGACATATCATCATGCTCTCCACTTCTACCAAAAAATTTACGAACACCTAAAGTATCATAACTGGGTGTACTTCGTTTGCTTTCGTCTATTGATACAGCAGCTGGACTATAATGCCTTTCATCTCTTTCTGCATCTTCAGTTTCTTCATCTTCTTCTTGATGTGTATATAATTCACCATAACCAAGACTGACATCATCATATTCTTGACCTCTTTCATATACACCATCAACAAATTCAGTTTCTTGATAAGAATCCTGCAATTTATCTTTCTCTTCAGTAAACTGATCCTCAGCCACATCTAAAACTTCTTCAGGAAGTTCTTTCTCAAACCCCATATTATATAAGTATGTATTCTGAGATTCATATAATGTTTCTTTAGTAACCAATAAGCCATTTTTATCTGCAGGCTCTCTTTGATCCTGAATAGAATCCGTACTTAATTTCTGAAATGATTCAGATGTTTTATCTTTTATAGAATCATCATCACAAATTTGTTCATCTAAATCATGGAGAAGATTATCATATCTTTCATCTTCAGGGGAGGTATCTATAGCTTCTGCTTTATCAGTCATATCAAACGAGTCTCTACTTTCTAACTTTGGTTTTTCTATTTCATAATCTTTAACCATTTCAGAATTTATATGAACAAAACCTTGGCTATGTAGAACATTCTGTTCACTTTCTGGTAAACAATTTGTTTCACCTATATCATCGTGTTGTATATCTGGTGTTTTCTCAATTTCTGATTCATGCCTATGAACATGTTGTTGCCATAAATCTTCTGTGAGTAATGATAAACTATCTTCTCTGGCCTGAGCTTGAACTTCTCCATCAGATATCCATTGTTCAGAAAATTCAACTGGAGGTTGAGATGAAGTTACCATTTCTTCAGAATCAAGAAATAAACATCTCTCAGAATTAAAGTCTGCTTGATCATCACTTATTTGCATATACTGTCCTTCAGCATCATAATTTTGAATTTGAGTTTCTTGGACATTCTGAACCGAAATATTTTCTCTACTGTCATCAAAAGGAGCATCATATTCAGGAATGTATTCAACTTCAACTGGACCATTTAATTGATGATATATTGAAGGTTCTTGAGCAGATTGTAAATTATCTTGAACAATGGCACTATGTATGGGAGAACCTGAGAGATCTAATGTGACATCGGAAACAGTGCTATCTACTCTAGTTACTGGGGGAGTTTCAGTATAAGGCTTAAAACAGGAGGACATCTGTTGGGAAATATGGATAGCAGTTTCTATACTAGAAGTCTGCCAAGTCTGCTCACTCTGAGTGGCAGAACTTTCTGATATAGAAAGTTCATCATGACTAAGTTGCTCAGCAACATCATCACTAAGTGCTGTTCCAACTTCCAGTTTATCTATTGCTTCAATAGACTGAGAAGGCAATTCTGAGCTCTCAGAGCATAATAAATATTTTTCACTTTCTGCTTTATCATTCTGCATCTCTGAAATAAGTTTTTCTTCTTCCACGCTTTTTTCAGATTTAGTTTCTAACGAATCTATTTGAATTGTTTCTTTTGATTGTACATCATATAAACCTTTATCAGAATCAGATAAAGGCTCTTGAGCAGCTTGATCCTGTAAACATTCTGCTAAATCATCATTTGTAATTATTTCAAAAGGACTCATGACCATCTGTATGTCTCTTTCACAAGGCCAAATCCATTCTTTTGCTGAAGATATATCACTTTCATTTGCTTGTAAAGACCAATCTTTGAGAAAAGGAACTTCCACTCCTTCCCTGATTATGCATTCCGGAATTTCTGAATCATATGGTTCTTTAAATCCAGCCTGGGCAGCAATTTCTTCTTCTAAAACTGGTGTATCTATTTCTTGCACTAGATCCATTTCTATTTCTTGTGCAGAAGGAACGAGTGTTTCACTGGTTTCTGAAGATAATTCCAAACTTGCTAAGTGTCCAGAACTTTCAGAATCAACTGAATATGCTGATTCTCTTGAACTATGACTGAGAGATGAGCAAGCAGTAGAATAAGATGTTTCTTGGGATGTTACTGCAGTTGTATAAGATTCAGATACTCCAATGGAAGTTTCCTGGGATGTGACACATGTTTCATATTCAGAAGATGGCTGACCACTTACAATTGTAACTTCAAATTCAGAAGAACATGGCCTACTAATAGCAGGAGTGTCTCTAGATGTTTTCCCACTTTCTGAAGTTTCAAAAGAATAATAATGACTTTCAGTTTCACCAGAACTAGACCATGATTCCATCTCTTGTCCTCCTTGTTTATCTTTTTTAGATGCTGATTTTTGTCTTAAAACAATATTACTAGGATCCTTGACTCCATCTGAAGGTTCTGAATCACTTCTTTTATCTTCCCTGCCATCAGTTGTATATAAGGTTTCAGCAGTAACAAAGAGAGGTTGACTACTTTCCCTATCTGATATTTCTGAAGAATCTTGCCTATCTTTATAATGTGAATCTTCAGATATTGCTCCAGAACTATTTACCTCAGTTTCTCTGTGTGTATAATCAGAACTTTCTGATGTGTATGAATCAGTATGACTTTCATGTTCTGTTTTCATTTGATCAGATTCTAAAATATCACTTTTTTTATCTGTAGGTGTTTCATCTTGAAGCTGAGTTTCTGAACTTTTATATAAATCTTCTGATGTTAATTCCTTTTTAGTTTTTTCTTCCAAAAGTTCTTTTTTCATTAAATCCATTTCTTCTTTTAAAATATTTATTGGTTTAGTTTCTAGTTCTGAAGATGAATGATCTCTTTCAACAAGATCTTCATCAGATATTTCTGATGATACTTGTTCTAATGATGAGGGTTTAAATTTATCTTTTTCTGAAATAGAACTCTCTGAAGTAGGACAAATAGAATCGCTGTTCTGTGTATCCTTCATAGCATCATCTCCTTCAGATATAACTTCCTCATCATGTTCTACAATCAATTGTTTTTCTCTTGGAATTTCTTTAACTTCCTCATGCAATACAGTTTCAGTTTCTTCTTGAATAGGTGTTTCCCATGTAATTTGTTCTGTTTCTTGTTGAAGAGCATTTTGTAATAGATAGTCAGATGTTTTTAAAGTTTCAATATTAAATCCACTTTCAACTGCAGCACTGTGAACAGGAAATTCTTTCTGTTCTGGAGAAGCACTTTCAATATCTGCTTCTAATTCCTGTGATAATATTGTTGTTCTTATTTGCTGTGCTACTTTTTCTTCATGATCAAAATCTGGAATATTACTAATACCTAATACTTTTTCTTCAGGTGGATTTTCTTCAATAGATTGATCTAATTCTTCATTCAATATTTGTGATTTTATTTGCTGCTGAACTTTTACAGATAAATTAACAGTCATTTCATATTCATCTTTATCCTTGAACAAATTAATATCATCATCATCATCTTCATCTGCTAACTTAGAATCATCTATATGTAATTCATCTTTCTGAGCTGAGTCTTTGAACACAGACTCACTAGAAGATTTTGAAATAAATTCTGAATCATGAACCTGTTCTGAAGTAATTTTTGCTTTGATTTCATTTGAGGAAGATTTTTCGTCATCCATGCCAAAGGATGGAAGTAATACAGAATGAGAAGATTCATCAAGACCAACAGTTTTTGCTTGGATAGGAGAATCTTTGGAAGGGGAGGGAAGTACAGAATCTTCAGTTGTCGTCTTGCCTGCAGCGGTCTGCTGCTCTGGCATAAAACTTTCTAGAATGTTAGCAAAGACAAATATTAGTGGGAAAGGATAAGTCTGCCAAATACCTGAAATCTTATTCTTTGTAGTCAAACAAAATTTAATAATAACTTCTTTTTAGCCATGCATAAATAAAAAATAAAGCTATTTAAGCAATAGGAATAGATATCAATATTGCTTGGCACATACTGTACAAAAATTAGAAATATATATTAAATATACATTTATAACTGTTTGTGTTGTTGTAAAGCAAAATATGGTGCTGAAAATTGCATTAATCATACAGATATTAAGCTTTAACAAAGACATTTTAATAAATATATATAATATTCATGCAATTAATGAGAACGCTATAATTTCATCTACAAGCATAATTATTGAATGTAAAAAATACTATGAGAATGATAGATACATAATAAAATTAGGTTTTGATACGTTCTACATGAAAGTGTACTATTTGTGATCATAAAAATCAAAAAATAAAATGTAAAGTAATCAACACAACTTACTCTATATACAACAGAATAAAGAAAACAATTGCATGCTTAAAAATTTGCTTAATATAAATAAATTATATATCAATTTAAAAATCAATGTAGATTTATGTAATGTATTTTGCAACAAAATATGTAAAAGCAATTAGCAAGCAATATATCAAAGAAAGTGTTTTAATAGAAAATATTTGTGCTTGCATAATTAAGTGCAGAACAAAATATAACTGGTAATTATTAAAAATAATTTTAAATATGCATATAAATAATGAAATTATGTAATAATACAATTATAATTAAGCATTTGCAGCAATTAATAATAAGTAAAAACTTTGAAAAAAATGTACCTCAAATTATGGGTCAATTATACCAATCATCATAAGAGGTCAGTAGCAATTAAATAACTCCATTAAAAGAATCAAAACATATATTTGTCTACTAATAAAATATGTAAATATATAAAATAATTAAGCAATAGATATTAAATTAATTAACTTTTGACATATCTAAATGAGTTTTAGTAAGTTCATGTGTTATCACTATTTATCTGAAAGCAAAAAATAATTAATATATAAATGAATTGTATTAAAATATGAACAAACTTGGAAAAAACACTAAACAAGTCAGTATTAAATATCTATTTAACAAAAAAAAATATATATTTAAAATAAATTCATCTCACCATCTCTAACTTTACTTGGAGATTGTGGTGGCCAAAATGGGGTAGTTGTAGCAAAAGCATCAGGTGGTGGAGGATGAGATATAGCTGTTTCATTAGCTTTTAAATGTGATTCTGTTTCAATACTTTCTAATTGCTTTGGCTTACATTCTGAAACAAGTGATTCATCTAAATCTCTTCCACTCACTTCAAACTGAAATTCAGTGGAAGAAATATCTTTTTCAACTGCATAATGAAGGTCCAGTGGAACATATTTTCCATCTGTTTCTTTTTCTGTTTCAGAAATATCTAATTTAGTTGAATGCTGGTCCCCTTCAGGGAGCAGCCCAACTACATGACCTAATAATTCTTTACTTTGTCTGTCAACTTCAGCTAACATAGATGCAACTTCCTGTTCAACAGCTTCAAGAGAAGTGGTTTCTTTTATTGATATGTCTTTTTTGCCTGAACTTTCTTCTACTTCTTGTTCTGTCATTATATTTTTGCTTTCTAAATATTCAACTGCAGCAATTTCACTTTCTGTTAACTCCTCTTTATCAAGTTCAAATAATTTTTGCTCATTTTCATCTTTAACCTTTTCAGGGGATTGTTTTTTTACATCCTCTTTTTCAGCTTGAAACATCTTTAATTTTTCTGAAAAACTAATCTGTTCTTCAATTACTTCACCTGTTTTTTGAAATTCGGTTTGAATTGTTTCTTTTGATGTCTTAACAACTGTTGAAGTACTAACTGGAACATCATTTGTCATTGAAAGTCTCTGAAAGAAATTTCTTTTTTCTGCAAAACTTAATGATTCTTCTTTCTCATCTGCTGGTTTTTCGGAAATATTATTTTCATCAACAGTTAATTCCATATCTTCCTCACCTATTTATTTAAGGGAAGGTAATTTGCCAACATATTCAACATTGATGTCTTTTAATAAATAACACATCTCTGGATAGTATCTCTCTCTTTTTTTTAAATCACTTCCACAATAGGCTATGTCATGCATAATATTCTATTTTAACTTTTTAAAAAAATCTACAGCAATTAACGAATGTTGATATCAAAATTTAATGTATAAAAATAAAAGAACCTAACAGATCAAATTACAACATAAGTTTCCCCCAAATCATGCAGCTGACATATTACAGAAAAATCACTGCCCAATAAATCACTGATTGCAGCTTAATGTATTTAATGTATTTAATAAAAAGTCCATGCAATTAAAATTTAAGTAATTTTATTATGATAAAATATTATAGAAATGATTTTTTGTTATGGGAGTGCAAAAAATTAATGCTTTTAGCACATGCAATTTAAACATCAACTACAAATAAATTAACATCAATAAGGTGCAAAATACCTGGATGTTGAACTGAGGTTTCTCCTGGCAAACTAACTGCTTCTGCATCAACTACAAAGGTGCAATGAATTTAACAAAAGTGATTCTGAATAATTAACTTATATTGCAGATAATTTTGATTATTGAAGAAAAAAACTGTTGGTCTTTGGAATATTCAATTAATTTTAAAATAATAAATACTAATTATTATTTTATATTTATGATCAATTTGTATTCTAGACAATTTCATATAAATTTTCAATGAACTTATAAGATAATAATATATAACAATTATTATTACTGAATACTTAATAAAAAAATACTTTATGTAAAATCTGTAAATAAAAGAAATATTGTATACAATATTTATTTCATTTACAAAATATATTATTATTTATAACAGAACAAATTCTTTCATTAAATGATAAAATAGTATTTAAATTTATAAACAAACTCACGATGATATAATAATTAATAACTAAGAAATCTGAAAAAAATATAGCGTAAATATTGTTTCAGGAAGTTAGTTAGTATTTTATTATTTAAAAAAATTATAAATTACCATACCTTTCCCTTTAGTTATAATAATTTCCTCAGGCTCTTTTGTTATTGTAGTTTTTTTACAAATCACATGCATAACACCTCCGGATTCATCTGTTTCAGTCCATTCTGTTTATTAATACATATTATTATTTTTAATTTACAAATATATTTTTCTTTTGTTTATTTCAAATAATATAATTATTTTAATACTAAAAAACATTTATATAAATTAATTTATTTATCATGTAAATAACTATATTTTCAACATGCTAACTTCTCATAACGATAGTTTTTTTTTTCTTCTCCACGTAGAAAACACGATAAAAATTAGTTTATAACTTATACCAAAGAGCAACTATATTTTGGTAATGACATGTTTAGATTTAATTTAATAATAAAGATTGGACAAAAAGTTATAAATTATTTCTAGCTTCTTAAAAGTTTGCTAATTTGTACTCAATCAGAGATGAAAAGAAATAAAGTTTCTGATAACAGATTAATAAATTCAATTTTGAATAGTTTTTTTTGTTATTGTCATCTTGTCAAAGAAAAGAAAAAAACATATGCAAAATAAGATTCACTGATAAGAAGATAAAATTAACAAAAGATTTTTGTCCTTGAATAATAATAAACAATTTACTAAATATCTACAACTGCACAAAAACTAGTTTTAAATACAGTACTTTATCAAAGACCTCCCTTCAAAGATTCCAGCATGATTAATTAAAGCTAATATTTTCAACAATTTAATTTATGTCATTCTTAGGCTAGAAACTTACTGTTGTACAGTACATTTAACTGAAAGGAATACAACTAAATCGGATTACAAAATTCAAAAATATAGAATGCTTTAAAAATAATCTTACTGAAATCATATCTTTACATATGAGGCATGTCATTCCAAACTGCATCTTATCCACACTTTCATGTATTCCAAAACTCATCTTATCTACTTAACCAATGGAAAATATAGATACTGATAACATGATACAAAAAGTAAGCCATTATAGATTCCTGTTTTAGATAAAGACCTCCAAAGTTTTTTTCAAGGGTGAGTATGGAGAAGGATATCCCTGGAGATTGAAAAATACCCCCTTGTATAACTTCATATAAATAGTTTGTAAAAACACACACATATGACCAACCAGTGATGTAACAACTTTTAAGCATAAATAAATAATGAATAAAGGGAGCTTAAACCAGGCCCCCCTTTATTCATGTTCCTATGAAATAGTACAGATATGAATATTTTTAAAATTAATTTAATTTTTTTTTAATTATCTAAGAAAAATAATATTTTTCTTACATAATTAAAAAAATTTTGTTTGTTAAAAGTGAAAAATAATATTGGACTTCATGCTGAATATTGGATAAGTAAAGTTGAGAAAATTATCATCTAGGTGTTAACAACCTACAGCTATCGCTACAAACAACTAGTGCTTTACGTTGAAAGCGCTAGTTGTTTGTAGCAATAGCTGTAGGTTGTTAATGCCTAGATGATAATTTTGTTTGTTCTGATTAATAATGATTAATTTTAAAAAGTATACTATTTATTTTAGATACTTTTTACAGTTTATTTTTTTCCAATTATACAGTACTCATCATTTTGTGACAGTGAAAAGTGATAAGATTCAATATGTGAGAATCAGAGGGTTCTACCTGACTTTAAGGACAATTTTACAGCAGAGGAATTTGACTTTAAGGAATTTTACAGCAAGTTTGAAGTTAAATATAGGATTTTTTTTTGTTACAGAAAAGTTATTGTTTCCAAAAAGAAGAATATAAGTTGTTATAATAGTGCATTAACCATTTATTTCATAATTACAAATAAATTATTGTTTACATAGCAATTAACATTTGGTATAACTTAGTATTTTGAGACTTGACAAGCTGTTTAAATTCTTTATTTGTTTATTGAACGTTGGTATCTACAATATATTCAAACAATGAAAAATCTATATATTTTAAGCAAAGTCCAAATAAATTATTTTTATTTAGGCCCATATATCAAGATTTCATATTCTATTTTGTAAACATCTCTAATTATAATTATCAAATCATTGTTATTTGTCACAATTTTGTTTCTTTATATCTTTACTAATAATGGTTTGATGACCAATGATTTCTAACTGTGTTCTATTTCTAATATGGTTAAAATACACAAACTTTGACTTGTCAAGTTTTAGGTTGAGTTTGAGTAAAAGTAAAAAAAATGTAAAAAGTCTGAGTACTCTGAACTGAAAATCCTAACAGCAATATAACTTACAGTATAGTAATACAGTTGGAACTTTTTGGTTCTGAAGATATCTCAATATTAGAGATCCAAAAAAAACTCTACCTCAGAACTGTTTTGTAAAACTCAACATCAACTGTAAGAATATATTTTATCATTGACTGAATGTCTTGAGCCTTCTCTTTGGCTTTTGTTTCCTGAAATGAATTTGGCTTGTAGAAGATGGACCTGCAATACTTGTTGCTGTTGAGTTTTCTTTCTTGTATGCCTTAATAAACTAACTTTATCCTAGGTCTGATTACTGTGGTTTGTCTTAAAATGTTTAGCAAAAGAATCATCTGAGAAAAACTTTTGTTGAAATACCTTAGAGTAACTATGGAAGATGTTTTTTGCATAAACAAATGCTTTGCTTGGAGTATGGTAGTTACAAAACTCAAAAATCATGTATGAATGATGTCAGAAAAGTTCTGTTGCAAGGAGTATTCCTGATCAGAGAAATTAGAGACCAAACATCATTAAATTTTCAAATATTTTTCTATATTTGATTGAATGTTGTTTCCCCCTTCTGAATGCAAGAATGCCCTTTGGAGATGAAAACTTCATTGTGATACTTTTTATGTGAAAGTTTGTTTGGAGGAACAAAGTAAATAAAATCAAGGAATTTGTATTGTGAGGCAAACAGCAAAAGATGTATTCAGAAACATCTGGGTTTCTCAACATAATTTTATATGGGAGTTGAACCACATGTCCTTTCTGGATTTCTAGAATTATTTTCTTCAAATCTTTATTTTTCCACTGTTCATATTTATTTTGAGCATACACTGATTGATGGTTATATTTAATTACATACCTCAAAGCCTGTTACTGGTATGAAATTAACATAAAAAAATGAAAAAAACAGACTTCCATGAATGTTTTTGAACCCTCAACAGTTCAGGTGGCAACAAATTTCCGTTAGAATGCCATTAGATAAGAACATTATTCGAAATTTGAAAGAACTATAGTTCTTTGTCCATTAGCACTTTCCATGTTATGGACAGAAATGAGAGGCAGAAGATAAAATCCTCTGGCTCTCATTTCTGAAAGTGTAACTATGTTCTAAAACTCTGCAGTTTGAAAAAAATTATCTGAATGTAGTTAGCCAATAATATGACAAGAAAGAATATGTTATCCAATAGCATTACTTATACAATATAACNGATCATCATTTCACAAGAGGTTAGCGGATATCATTAAAAAAGTAATGACTTATCTGAAAATGTTATCAAATTTCTTCCATGAATTCTTTTGCATCTGGAATGTGTATTTTTTACCTTGTAGAACTTATAGAATATTAAAAATATTCTATAATTAACTGTCCAAATGAGGTTTTTTTTTACATTTTACTAAAAAATCTTGGATTGGATTTTTAATTCAATAAATATACAAGTTATCGTGTCACGAGATGCTTCATTTATATCGTGTATCAACACTAAATAATTTATTAAGATATCGGAAATAATACGAGTTTTTCAACCTAATCACTGTCATTTTATTTAATTTTTAATTGATTCTACTGTTTAAGAGAGATATAAAATCCTAAACATGGCTAAAAATACATGAATATATTGGAAATTTTGTAATGAAGACAGACACTTTCGAGAAAACCGGGGTTTTTGTTCATTTCAAATGACAATTTAAAGATATCTTGAAACTGCAAAATTTATCAGTATTCTGGTAAAAATAAAAATGATTTATTTTAGACGAGTCGGAGTGATGTATAGGTCAAAACTAGAATAGTTACGTAACAGAAAACTAAAAATATATCACCCAAAAAATAAAATTATATTATTTATTCATTAATCCAATTATTTAACCAAAATACTGACTGTAAATCTTATATAACTGCCATGATTATTTTTTAATTCATTTGTGATTTTCTAATTTTTTTTAATCTTTACTACTACTCAATAGGATGACTATCACGCCAAAATATTGTATAATAAAATAAAGACACTGAGTTTGGTGTTACATGCATACATTTTTTATTGCAAGCACTTTCGATAAACTTATAGTCGTCGTCATCAGGCGAATACAGAGATACAAGTGCTTGCGACAAATAAAAACATATGCACGTAACACTAAACTCAGTGTCTTTATTTTATTATATAATCTTTACTACTTTTTTACAACTAATAATTTTTTTGCTTACAAATCTTTTCATAGATTACATTTCGGATGTTCTTCTTTTTGTCTGATGCTAAATTTGTTTACAAAAGAAATTTTTAATATACTCATTTATAATATTTTTTGTTTAAGGGACTGAAGTTTCTAGTTATGCCACTGTGACCAATCAGTTGCATTTGTCAACCTATCAAATCAAAAAAATATTCCTGGAGAATGTTTTCTGAAAGATACATGACATGCAGATTTTGTGTTTAATTAATTAGGGGCTATCCATAAATGATGTCCATACTGGAAGAGAGGAAGGGGGTTATGACAAATTGGATAAAGTCAGACAAGAAAGTGAAGGGTTAACTTCAATGGACGTCCATTTTATTTCATTAAATTTTATACATTTTATTATTCATAAAGTGGTAAAGATTTTGGGAAGGTTGAATTTTGTTAGAAGTCTGAAGAAGAAAGGAGTTATGAAAATTTTGGACAAACTGGGACAATGGAAGGAGTGGATGTAAAAATTTCAAGAAAAATGTGTACATAATTTATGGCTAGCCGTTTAGAGTTGAAATAACATTTCAATTAATTATTTTAAGTTTCTGAAATTAAATTTGCATTGAAACCGTAAACAATAAAGAAATGTCAGAGAGAAGAGACTTAGCACTAGAAGAGATGCCAGAAGGGTTTTGTTAAATATCACAAAAATTCATAACGTCAAATGTCTGCTGGAAACTCATTTTGGAGAAGGTTGGGAAACATTGAATTCATTGAGATTTGCTGTCACATAAAGTGGGATGTAGAAGAAAGAGATGAAGAATGTTATGATGATTTGCATGAAATGCCTGATACTTTAAGAATTTAAGTCCTGTAGTACGAATTACTTTGCCTTTCAAATAAAACACTTTTAATCTGCATTTTTCAAAAATTAGTTGTATCTTATTATTAATATTACTGTCATTTCAAAACTCAGCAAATCCAAACTGTCTTTCCAAAACTTGCCACATCCATCTTATAAACTTTAATATTGCCCCAACTTTTTGGTAAAATTATAATTCCATAGGCTAATAGCTTGCATTATGTCCATTTACATGTATTTTTATAAACAAATGTTATCATTGTCAAGTTTAAAACTGTAAAAGACTTTATTGAATACTGAAAATAAAATGAAACTGGACAAGATGCACTTTTGAATAACATGCTTCATATGTAATATAATAATTCTCTAGTGTGCTGTTTTGATTAATTCTCTGTGTGTCAAATGTATCTTGAGTGCTAATTTAAGTATTATTGTATAATTTTTGTCTATGATATTTATTGCTAAAAACAAAAATGCAAAGAATAATGTTGGGAATGAATATCCATCTAGCTGACAGAGAGTTGTAAGTCATGGAGATATTGGTCCAGGGATATTATTCCCTCATCAGTGATGACAGAAATGTGGACAGGAACAGAGTAAGGAAGAATTCAAGAATGAAGGGAAGATCAAAGTGTATATTGGTGACTAATTAAATTTATCTTGCTCCAAAGACAAAAAGGTCAAAAGAAAGTAGAAATGGAAGTAGATAATACAGAGCATAAGATTTCATCTCATTCATAATGCCTATGGAAGAACAAATTTAGAATTCATTCAAACTTGTTTCAATTCTGTTTCAGTATTCCCTCTAGGTGGATCCAAAGTATCCTTACATAAATACTTGTTTAACTAATTTTATACTATTTTTATCATGAATTGTTTTCTAGAGCAATTTATATTTTTAACAGATTTATATGTAAAAATATACCATTGTCATCTTTATGAAGTTTACTTTGTAATAAAAAAAAGTTTCTTATCAATATAAAAATAACATGCTTTGTTCTTTCTTACAAATATTAAACTTGTTTTTAATGAAATTTTTAACTAAAAGNTAATAATTTTTTAATACTATTAGTTTGTGATACATAATATATTATTTTTTCTGCCATAATAACTAACTTTTTTCTGTACCCCTAAACAACCTATTGCGTACCCCCAGGGGTGCGCGTACCATGGGTTGGGAATCACTGGGCTAAGTTATAAATCATGATTCACATAATCAGGCAAGGGTGGCCAAATATCTAGCAGGCAGACTGCTAACAGCGCAGAACCAGTCCTGGATAGAATCATTGGAAGTGTTATAGGTGTGTAGCTTCCACCAGCTAAACCAGGTGAGGTAGGTGTTTTGTAAATCGCATGTGCGAATGAGTATAATCTGGCTGTTTGAAAGCTGACAATACAGCACTTCCATTCTGCCACTAATATTCGAATATACAATAGCAATCTTATCATTTTTTCAGGAACAGTGAAAAAGAAAGCAAATATATGTATATGTTAGTTATAATAAGATATTAATTTAAAGGTTTTAAATATCACAATATTCTTTCAAATTATGATTATACTTAGTTATCAAACAAGAAGAAAAAAGAATGGTTTTAAATTATAAACAAATACAGTTAAAGATTAATAACAAAAATAGTGAGAATGAATTAAATAAAGCCTTATTTTTCAATATTTGAAAACATATTCATATTATTTTCACATATCAGCTCTTCTGTATCAGTTTCAGGTGAACTATCAACAATAGTTATAGAATTTAAACATAATTCAGCAATTTCATCATCATTCTCTGGAACAGAATAAATTTTATGCTTAGACAGTTCTTCATTTTCTGAATTATTTAATTCCTCTTCATCTGTTTTAACACTTTCAATTAATGAATTAATATCTTTATCATTATCTTCATCTTCATCAGATGATGATGATTCAGCCAATTTCTTGTAACGTATACCAGTATTCTTGTTTAATTTGTTTGACCAATTCCTTCTTTTTTGTTCTATACATTTAGTTTTATTTTGATGTTTTTGAATATCATAATGATTTGAATTTAAATATTGTGGAGATTCAATATCACTTAAATTTTCAATATCTGTAGTTGGTTCATAATTAGTTTGAAAACTAGGTAGCATAGCTTTCTGTTTAACTAAAGGATTACTTTTTTTAGTATAATTGTTTTTCTTTATCTTATTTCTATTATAACACTTTGATTCTTTACATAAACTTTCAGATTCTTTAATTTTAATTATAGAAGTTTGATTTTCTATTGTAGAAATATTTGTTAAAATTTTCTTTTCTTCCTTTTCTGTTTCTTCTTCTTCAGATGTAATAAAATTTTCTTCATCTGTTTTTGATCCTGTAAAATCATCATCCTGGACTGTCAGCAGTTGTTTGCTATGACTTTCTAAACATTGAGACAAGTCAGGAAGTGAAAAAGGTTTTTTGTATGGTTCACAGCTATTTTCTGTTAAAAAATTTTCATTTTCTTTAGTTTCAAAATATTCTGTATCAGTAATATTATCAATTTCATCAAATTCTTTTACTTCCGGATAAGCTGTTTTATTAAATTGATCAGATGGTAAAAACACTTCTTCTGCATCTGAATCACTTTCATTTGTCAATTGATATTTACAAATTTTCTTAGGACCACAGGAAATAGTTTTTATAAAATTATTTTCCTTATCACTCAAATCTTCAGTTTCTGTTATGTTATCTGCATCTATACTACTAGATGCTGAAAGTTTCCAAGATAATTTTTCAGGAATATTATACATTTTAAAATTAGACATTTCAAGAAAATTACCAAATTTTACAGGATTATTCAAATTAATTGCACTTGTTTGTTGCAACATATTTTCATCATCTGAAGATACATCAAAGTCCTCAAAATCTGTGATACCATCATATTTATTTTTGTTAGCACTAAGATAATGAGAACTCCTACTTTGTATTTCATTAAACTTGCTTACTTCTTTACATACTGTAGTACTTATATTATCTCCTTCCCAAAAAGAAACTGACATTAAATCATTACTTTCATAATTAATACATTTTTCATTATCAGATAATAAAATTTCTTCATCATCAGTATTAATTTTATCAGAATTATCAGTTATCACCGAATTCAAAAATTCTGATAAAGTTAATTCTTCAATGCCTTCTATAGCATTATTATTGCTTGATAACATATTATTCTCAATTTGTTCATTTTCTTCTTGAGATATATTATCTGGTCTTAAAATTTCATACTTGATATTTGAACTACTTTTATTTGAATTTGCCATTATTAGTTATGATATTTATATTTTTAAGAATGTACTCTTTTAATCTTCAATATTAGTATCTTCACTGACAACTATACACTTATGTTTAGAAACACATCTATAAATATAGAATTTTATAATTCAGTAATTGTATTAATTATAAATTTAGTATAATTCACAATTAATAGCTTTAAATTAAATTATAATTTTGTTATTGTTGACTATAATTTTTTATTTTAGAAAAAGTCATATTTAAAATATTAAATTCAATATTATGAAAAAGTAATCCTCAAATAAAAACTAAATTATCAAATACATATAAAAAAATCAATATTATTCTGAACTAAGAACATTCTGTGCGTAATTAAAGCCTTTACAAAATTTTGTCTTTACTTGTATATTTCAAAAAACAGTAACCAATATATTATTTTCTTTTATTTATTATAAATTATAATATATTTAATACATTATAATTTATTATTTTCTAACATTTACAGTTATAAGATACATTTTTTTAAAGATATATAAAGACAAATTTAAGTAGCTTGGTTAGTTAATTATTAAAATTTACTTATAATAAAACTTCTTAATATTAAACATAAATTTCAAAAAGAAATCAATCTGAACTCACCAACACAAACCGGATAAACTCCAAAACTCTTAAGTAAATACTGAATGGCTTCTTTACTAATTGGTTTAGTGTTCATATTATTTACAAAGGACTGTTATATTTATTGATTGAAATGAATGCTTTGTATAGCAAAATGTTAATTAAATTATGGTATTTTTTCTTGAAATAAACTTTTGTATCACATTTTGTTTTTTAATTTTATAAATGTACATCAATCATTTCATATATTTTCATAATAAAGTTAAGCATTTTATCTACCTTTTTCTTCAACACGAGTTTCTATTTGAGGTTTGTCTCCATCTGCAGATGAAATATCTTGTTCAGCTGTAGTACCGCTAGACATTGTTGCTGTAGTAGGTTCAGATTTTTCATCTTCTGGCAAACTCGAAACAGAAACTTGGCTAGTGTCCATTTCACCCGATGGCCACGTTTCCGATTCAACTAATTTTGCAATTTGATCTCTATCCAATTGAAGTTCTTCTCCATCTATATTATTAAAGACCAAAGTTAAATTATGATAAATTTTAAATATGATAGAAATTTTTTGTAATATAAATTATGTAAAAATCAAATAATTCAAACATTTAAATTACAGCAGACTTGTGATTATCTGGATTAATGTGGCAGATGACTGAACCAAGTAACATGGTAATCGAAGATAAAGTACTTCCTGTACATCAAGCATATCAATGTCTCACGTATGTGATTTCTTTTTCAGCTATAATTTTAATGGTATACTTAATAATATTTTAATATTTTTAATACAAAATTTTCAACAAAAGTAAGCCAGTAAAACACTTACAATTACCTTATGTTTTATGAAAACATTTGCAATCACATTTTTACACATTATAATTATTTAATAATACTGTACTGTATATATAAAAAACTATATGACAATATTGATCAACCAGATAATCACAAAACTATTGTACCAATTTTTGCTGCAAATACATTTTCCTTTTGAAATATTTTAAATTAATTTTGTCACTGGGAGAATTAATTTTGTCAATAAATCCTTTTTGCAAGATAACTTAAAAATTTCAACAAACCTTGCACAATTGTGGTTTTAGTAACTGTTGTAACAACATGTTTTATTGTCCCATCTTCTAAAACCTCTTTTTTTTCTTGAACAGATGTTTCCTGTTCTCCTAAAAAAGTTACATAAATATAAATAATATTCTTATGAATTTAAAAAATTGAAAGACATTATTATTGCTACTTTATTTGATAATTTAGTACCTTTTGCATTCTTTTCTGCTGGTGATGGTGGTGGTGTTTTGGTTTCTTTAATACTTAGCACTTGACCTATTCATAATGATAATCTTGGTATAAATTGTATTTTATAGAATATTATTTTAATTATGAATTAATTTTAAATTATTATTTATTATAACTTTTCAGTATAATTGAAAGAATTTCAATACTAACATTAAACTATAAAATCAAGATAATTAACACATTTATTGCTAAATAAGTAACTGTAAAACTAAGAATTTGATTCTCAACTGCATTGTATAATTTCAATTTTATTATTATATTTTGTGTTCTCTAATACCTCCTATTATAAAATAAATATAAAACTGATTTAAATTGTCATAAATTATATTTTAAAAAAATTAACTAAATTATATTTAAAAAAGATTACCGTAATTTTGTGCAGATGACTCATAAATGAGTTTAAAAGTCAATTTGAAAATGGAAGTGTGTTATGCAATAATACAGATTATCTGTTTTAACTTGCAATTATGAAATCATTAAACAGTTTTTTATTTCTTTAAATTTAACAAGAGCATCTTTAGAAGATGTGCAAATCCTTTGTGCACTACAAAAATATTCATTTGCCATCATAATTATTCCAAAACCCCAAAGATAAAGGCATATAAGTCTATTCCTTTAGTTTTCTTGTATTCATATTCTCTACACCAAACCATATTTTAATTGATTTTATCAGACATTTTTAGTTAAATCTGCATCTTGAAAACTGAAAAGTTTCCAGTAATTCTACCTTCTCTGCATAATAATAATACCCAGAGCACTATTTAGAAGCAAATTGTCAATTTTAGTACATGTTAATTTGTTATAGTAAATGAGATCTAAGTGATCAATTCTTAAATACATATCATTAGATACAGTTTGTGTGCAACTTTCTTAGCAAAATCAACAATGATATTAATGGCAATTCCTTTATGGCAATTCCACTTATTTACTAGACCTGGTGAAGCAATCATTCCTGTCCCATCATATAGAAAATGCTACTACTCTGAACCATCTTGATTCCAGACTCTTCAAACACCAAGTTTATTACAGAATATTATTAGATTTTAAATAATATTTATGTATTTAATAAATAAAACAAAAATAAAGTGAAACAATAAAAAGCCTATTTGTATTTTTAACACAATGAAGTTTAGACAGGTCCATCTCAAATACAATCTGTTAAATAAATTATCACACCTCAAAGCTGGCATACAATATTAATCAAATTCTGCATATGGAACACTAGTAAAAAAATAAAAGTTTCATTACATCATTCTAGATGTAACTAAAACAGTTAAATATTTTTGCAGAGGTGTAACCTCTAATAAAAGGTCATCTCTGTACAGGAAGACTGTTTGTTCCTGGTCAGTGGACATGGCAGAGATGTGAAGACTGTTTGTTCCTGGTCAGTGGACATGGCAGAGATGTGAAGACATATTTAATTTCTTATCATCACTTTATGAAAGTTGGAACCAGTTATGGTATAAGTAACATACCTTTCTCATACTCCCAGAAATTTAACAAGTCTTAGTCGATGTTTGATAAGCAATGCTGGTAACTGAAAGCCAGCCCCTAAAAGAGGCTGAAACAATTTGTGATAATAATTTTGCATTGCTGGAAGTATGAGAAAGGTGTGTTATTTGTAAACATTTAGATTATTCTATGTATTTTTAATAGGCAAAATAGCATCAGCTATTTTAATTGAAATTATGTTGCTTACAAGTGTTTAGAAGTGTGGTGTATATAGTGTTTTTTTTTTCTGTTTTAAATTTTTTTTTGCAGGGTACACAGCAGTGCAAGTTATACATCATCATCTACACAAAATTATGGTATATTATTTAAAAATAATAATTAATTAAAATAATAAAAAATTATAAGTTATTGTTTTCTTGCAAAATTATATTAATGTACAATAATTTTAGCATTTTGAAATAATTTTGTTATTTTTTTATAATATTTTAAGTTTATTGAAAAACAACAACAAATTCGTTTATGAAAAAAGTCAGTATATTAAATTAATGCAGCAATTATAAAACTGAGTAGTATGTTATTTTCATTTATTTGATTTGGAAATTATGAGATTCAAAAATATTCCTCTTAAATAAAATTCAATTTCTAAAATTAAAAAAATTATTATTATTTTTACTTTGGATAAAAATTGCATTATCTGATATATAAATTTATACTAAATATATCAAAAAGTCAACATATATTTACACGAACGATTTATTTTCAGTTTGTAATAAGATAAATTTCTTTTATAAGATAAGTTCTCTACAATTAATAATTTTGATGATGGATACATAAGTATTATTTTATTTTATAATTTAAATTTTAGAAAATTCAAAAAGAGATGAGATTATTTAAATTTTTATATTTATAATTTTGTTAAATATACTATAATATTTTTATTTAATAAAATTACTTATAGACATATTTATTGTATAATCTTACATTAAAAATATAAGGCTTTTAAAATTAACACTATATTTAAAAGCAAAATAAAATTGTCTTAGTGAACACATCATCATAATGCCATTAGATAAAAAAATTATTTTATTTTTAATAATTTTTCCTGTATGTATAAAAAATTATTGATCCTTAATTGTTGTATAGATCATTATAATAAATTCAGACAAATAATACAACAGTCATTGCTAGCTGATAATTTAATTCATTCCAAATATAAATTTAGAGAAGTATAAAACAAATATACATATTTTTTACTATATTCTACTCTCATATTTTTCAATATACGAAAAATATATAAGCAACAAATTTTTTTGCATTTTTATTCAACTAATCCATTTAATTATTTTAATCACTTTTGTAAAATAGATTTTCTTCCATTTTTTAATTTATAAAGATTAAAAATAAATTTTAAATTTCATTTTCTTGCTGTTCAAATTGATATAATATTTAATAGCAAATAATGTGTTAACTATTATAAATTTGATATTCCAAATATAAAACTATTTGTTGGACTATCAAATTTACTTAAAATTTTTATTTTTGTAACTTATAATCATTATGTTTTCTTCATATATTACATATTTATGTTAAACTCAGAAAATTCCTTGCAAATTAAAAAAATACCTTCATCAGATGATTGCAAAACATTTATATCTTGAAATGCTTGTTGCAAATCTTCTAAAAGATCTCCATCTGTAACTGTTTTAGTAATAACTAATTTGGTAACTGTTTCTTCCTTCATGTGTTCTGGTGAAGTTTTATCTTGAACATCCTTTTCATCTTTAATAATAATTTGTGAGCTTGAATAATCAGATAACTTATCACTTAAATTATCATCAGATAGCTTTTTAAAAACTTCTTCTGATACTTTTTCAGGTTCATGTTTGATAACTTTTTTAAATATCTCTTCTTGAATTTCTTCATAAGCTTCTTCACTAATATCCTTGGAAGGTGAAATATGTGATATTTTTTCAAAAACTTCTGTTTTTTTAACACTTTCTTCTGCATCTTTTTCAGGAATTCCTCTGCTAATTTTTTCAAATAATTCTTCTGAAATTTCATTTGATATTTTTTTAGAAAGATCTTCAGGAATTTTTTCTGAAGACAATAATGGAGGTCCTTCTTCATAAGTTCTCTCAGAAATTTCTTTCACTTTTTCAAAAATTTCATCAGAAGCCTTCTCTGGAACTTCTCTGCAGATTTTCTCCAGTACTTCTTCAGAAATTTCACTTGAAATTTCTTCAGGCTCTTCAACAGTTTTAGCTATATCTTCAGAAACTTTGATAGATATTTCTTCTGGACTTTTCTCAGATACTTCCTTGGAAGTTATTTCTGAGATTTTAGAAATTTCAACTTCTTTAGAAACTGTTTCAGTTAATGATTTACTTGAATCTACAATAATTGGTTCTACTTTAACTTCAGGCTGTTCTTTATCTTTTTTTGTCACATCTTCAATCAAACTGTCTTGTTTTATAACTTCAATTGGTGATGGAAGTTTCTTTCCTTCTGTGTGAATAATTCATATATTTATTCACTCAGATTAATATGATTTAATAATGATGTGGAAATGTAATATGCCATGAAGCACAAGCAACAGAATAAAGCTATTTTTGGAGAAACATAACTTTTCTTTCTAAGGCATGCCATATCAAATAACTTACCACTGAATAATAGGAAGCATGACAGAATTAAATATTCAATAGCTTAGCAAAAAAATTTAATTTCAACTAGAAAATAATTTTGGTTAACAAAAAGCAAATGTATAACTTAATTTGCAAGTAAGAAAGAAAAAAAATATATAAAGCATAATTCAAATAAATACAATTGTATACTGAATGATGCAATTTCCTTTTCTTCAGTGATATATTGAATAAATTATTTCAGAAATTATAGATCCAGATTTATTGGGAAGTTTATTTTTATGTTATTATTTAAATAAAAAAAACCAAATACTTAACTCATAACACAATTTTCAAAAAATATCTATTTGTGATAATTTGTAAATGGTTAAATTATATTTTCAATAATCACTTCTTCAAAATTATTATTATTTTCTAAATTAGTAATCAAATTAATATCCATTTATAAATGAATAAATATTAATATCAAGAACTGGGTTAACATATTATAATATATTGATTTTTATGTTAGAATTATTAGCATTTATGTAAATTAAATTAATTCTATATAAGCATTTTTAAGTTTTGAATGATTAGTGTTTATTAAAAGCAAACAAAATTAAATAAGCATGAGCTAAATAAAATGGATGAAAAAAGTTAAAAAAATTAAATACAATAAAATTATATACATGTAAAATATAATCCTTAATTTTAGATTGACTTCTTAATCTAATTCTCACAAACTGTGATCAGCTAGCTTTACTTCAAGAAGTCTTACTTCTAAAAGATTATCTTGTATAAAACAGGACTTCTTGAATTTAGCTGATTGCATTTTGTAAATATTAAATAAGATATGTAATATGCCAAAAGTCAGAATAAATAGTTTTAAATTGAAAAAATAATATATTCATTTATACTGAAACATTATTAAAAACTTTTAAAATATAAAAATAGTAGTTTTTCTTTAAAAAATTATTTAATATAATTTTATTTATTCCAGAAAACTTCAAAAACTACTACTATTCAAATATTTACTTATTATTTATTTTTCAAAATTTATATAATCTGTTCATAAAAGTTTTGTAGACTAAAAATGAAAAACTTAAAGTTTTGTACAAAATAAAACCATATGTAACAAGCATAGAAAAATAAATTTATTCTTAGTATAAAATATATGCTTATTATGATTTAGTATGATTATCTTTATTGTTAAAAAGCATAGTACAATTTTGCAATTCCATAAACATATTTTCCTATCAATATTTTAAAACAGTGCAATCAGTATTAACATTCAATCCATATTGCTGTCTCTGAACAGCAAACATTTGTGTCAGCCTCTGGACTTGGCTATCTTCAGTCCATTAGAAATAATAATAAATGCAGAGACAGCCGACTGAAGGGAAGACAGCTATTTTACCATCCATAGGTAAAACATAAGGGTCTATAAGGAAAGATTAATTTACTAGACTACTAAATGAATCTTAAACTCTGAACCATGCATATGAAAACTTGAAATCAGGGAGTTCCAAAAGAGTAAAATTGCATCTCTCAATAAAAACAATGTGTTAAGCCATCATTCAACAAGTTTTTTGAATAAAAGATGGCTATTCTTCAACATTCTCTAATTTTTATTTTTTGATATGTGATTTTTAGCTCAGAATTTAACTCACTATTTTTGTCAGTATAACTTTTGACTGTAAAACTTGTTTTATGGAAAAAATTATTGTTTTTATTTTATATAAACAGAACCAACCATATCCTCATTGCAATTTTAAAGTGCATAAGAACTTAATTACTTATTAACACTATTGAAAAATTTATTCTGACTTTTGACTTGAGATACCTGTAAAATATATTTACTATTAATTCAATTAATTTATATTTTATATAGTTATCACTACTTCTTAAAATAATAAATGATTTGTATGTTTGTGTTTGTTTATTTGTGTTCATGTGTCTATATCATTAACAAAATGATTTTATCTTTTAAAAAAAAATTTGCTAATTAAATCAAAATAAATGCCAAAATTTGATTTAAAAACTTTTAAACTTTTAATAAACTTACAAAAACTTTAATCCCCAAATTATCATCTTTAAATATTGAATACGTTAGATAATCTATAGGCCATTAACNTAATTTATTATTTTCTAACATTTACAGTTATAAGATACATTTTTTTAAAGATATATAAAGACAAATTTAAGTAGCTTGGTTAGTTAATTATTAAAATTTACTTATAATAAAACTTCTTAATATTAAACATAAATTTCAAAAAGAAATCAATCTGAACTCACCAACACAAACCGGATAAACTCCAAAACTCTTAAGTAAATACTGAATGGCTTCTTTACTAATTGGTTTAGTGTTCATATTATTTACAAAGGACTGTTATATTTATTGATTGAAATGAATGCTTTGTATAGCAAAATGTTAATTAAATTATGGTATTTTTTCTTGAAATAAACTTTTGTATCACATTTTGTTTTTTAATTTTATAAATGTACATCAATCATTTCATATATTTTCATAATAAAGTTAAGCATTTTATCTACCTTTTTCTTCAACACGAGTTTCTATTTGAGGTTTGTCTCCATCTGCAGATGAAATATCTTGTTCAGCTGTAGTACCGCTAGACATTGTTGCTGTAGTAGGTTCAGATTTTTCATCTTCTGGCAAACTCGAAACAGAAACTTGGCTAGTGTCCATTTCACCCGATGGCCACGTTTCCGATTCAACTAATTTTGCAATTTGATCTCTATCCAATTGAAGTTCTTCTCCATCTATATTATTAAAGACCAAAGTTAAATTATGATAAATTTTAAATATGATAGAAATTTTTTGTAATATAAATTATGTAAAAATCAAATAATTCAAACATTTAAATTACAGCAGACTTGTGATTATCTGGATTAATGTGGCAGATGACTGAACCAAGTAACATGGTAATCGAAGATAAAGTACTTCCTGTACATCAAGCATATCAATGTCTCACGTATGTGATTTCTTTTTCAGCTATAATTTTAATGGTATACTTAATAATATTTTAATATTTTTAATACAAAATTTTCAACAAAAGTAAGCCAGTAAAACACTTACAATTACCTTATGTTTTATGAAAACATTTGCAATCACATTTTTACACATTATAATTATTTAATAATACTGTACTGTATATATAAAAAACTATATGACAATATTGATCAACCAGATAATCACAAAACTATTGTACCAATTTTTGCTGCAAATACATTTTCCTTTTGAAATATTTTAAATTAATTTTGTCACTGGGAGAATTAATTTTGTCAATAAATCCTTTTTGCAAGATAACTTAAAAATTTCAACAAACCTTGCACAATTGTGGTTTTAGTAACTGTTGTAACAACATGTTTTATTGTCCCATCTTCTAAAACCTCTTTTTTTTCTTGAACAGATGTTTCCTGTTCTCCTAAAAAAGTTACATAAATATAAATAATATTCTTATGAATTTAAAAAATTGAAAGACATTATTATTGCTACTTTATTTGATAATTTAGTACCTTTTGCATTCTTTTCTGCTGGTGATGGTGGTGGTGTTTTGGTTTCTTTAATACTTAGCACTTGACCTATTCATAATGATAATCTTGGTATAAATTGTATTTTATAGAATATTATTTTAATTATGAATTAATTTTAAATTATTATTTATTATAACTTTTCAGTATAATTGAAAGAATTTCAATACTAACATTAAACTATAAAATCAAGATAATTAACACATTTATTGCTAAATAAGTAACTGTAAAACTAAGAATTTGATTCTCAACTGCATTGTATAATTTCAATTTTATTATTATATTTTGTGTTCTCTAATACCTCCTATTATAAAATAAATATAAAACTGATTTAAATTGTCATAAATTATATTTTAAAAAAATTAACTAAATTATATTTAAAAAAGATTACCGTAATTTTGTGCAGATGACTCATAAATGAGTTTAAAAGTCAATTTGAAAATGGAAGTGTGTTATGCAATAATACAGATTATCTGTTTTAACTTGCAATTATGAAATCATTAAACAGTTTTTTATTTCTTTAAATTTAACAAGAGCATCTTTAGAAGATGTGCAAATCCTTTGTGCACTACAAAAATATTCATTTGCCATCATAATTATTCCAAAACCCCAAAGATAAAGGCATATAAGTCTATTCCTTTAGTTTTCTTGTATTCATATTCTCTACACCAAACCATATTTTAATTGATTTTATCAGACATTTTTAGTTAAATCTGCATCTTGAAAACTGAAAAGTTTCCAGTAATTCTACCTTCTCTGCATAATAATAATACCCAGAGCACTATTTAGAAGCAAATTGTCAATTTTAGTACATGTTAATTTGTTATAGTAAATGAGATCTAAGTGATCAATTCTTAAATACATATCATTAGATACAGTTTGTGTGCAACTTTCTTAGCAAAATCAACAATGATATTAATGGCAATTCCTTTATGGCAATTCCACTTATTTACTAGACCTGGTGAAGCAATCATTCCTGTCCCATCATATAGAAAATGCTACTACTCTGAACCATCTTGATTCCAGACTCTTCAAACACCAAGTTTATTACAGAATATTATTAGATTTTAAATAATATTTATGTATTTAATAAATAAAACAAAAATAAAGTGAAACAATAAAAAGCCTATTTGTATTTTTAACACAATGAAGTTTAGACAGGTCCATCTCAAATACAATCTGTTAAATAAATTATCACACCTCAAAGCTGGCATACAATATTAATCAAATTCTGCATATGGAACACTAGTAAAAAAATAAAAGTTTCATTACATCATTCTAGATGTAACTAAAACAGTTAAATATTTTTGCAGAGGTGTAACCTCTAATAAAAGGTCATCTCTGTACAGGAAGACTGTTTGTTCCTGGTCAGTGGACATGGCAGAGATGTGAAGACTGTTTGTTCCTGGTCAGTGGACATGGCAGAGATGTGAAGACATATTTAATTTCTTATCATCACTTTATGAAAGTTGGAACCAGTTATGGTATAAGTAACATACCTTTCTCATACTCCCAGAAATTTAACAAGTCTTAGTCGATGTTTGATAAGCAATGCTGGTAACTGAAAGCCAGCCCCTAAAAGAGGCTGAAACAATTTGTGATAATAATTTTGCATTGCTGGAAGTATGAGAAAGGTGTGTTATTTGTAAACATTTAGATTATTCTATGTATTTTTAATAGGCAAAATAGCATCAGCTATTTTAATTGAAATTATGTTGCTTACAAGTGTTTAGAAGTGTGGTGTATATAGTGTTTTTTTTTTCTGTTTTAAATTTTTTTTTGCAGGGTACACAGCAGTGCAAGTTATACATCATCATCTACACAAAATTATGGTATATTATTTAAAAATAATAATTAATTAAAATAATAAAAAATTATAAGTTATTGTTTTCTTGCAAAATTATATTAATGTACAATAATTTTAGCATTTTGAAATAATTTTGTTATTTTTTTATAATATTTTAAGTTTATTGAAAAACAACAACAAATTCGTTTATGAAAAAAGTCAGTATATTAAATTAATGCAGCAATTATAAAACTGAGTAGTATGTTATTTTCATTTATTTGATTTGGAAATTATGAGATTCAAAAATATTCCTCTTAAATAAAATTCAATTTCTAAAATTAAAAAAATTATTATTATTTTTACTTTGGATAAAAATTGCATTATCTGATATATAAATTTATACTAAATATATCAAAAAGTCAACATATATTTACACGAACGATTTATTTTCAGTTTGTAATAAGATAAATTTCTTTTATAAGATAAGTTCTCTACAATTAATAATTTTGATGATGGATACATAAGTATTATTTTATTTTATAATTTAAATTTTAGAAAATTCAAAAAGAGATGAGATTATTTAAATTTTTATATTTATAATTTTGTTAAATATACTATAATATTTTTATTTAATAAAATTACTTATAGACATATTTATTGTATAATCTTACATTAAAAATATAAGGCTTTTAAAATTAACACTATATTTAAAAGCAAAATAAAATTGTCTTAGTGAACACATCATCATAATGCCATTAGATAAAAAAATTATTTTATTTTTAATAATTTTTCCTGTATGTATAAAAAATTATTGATCCTTAATTGTTGTATAGATCATTATAATAAATTCAGACAAATAATACAACAGTCATTGCTAGCTGATAATTTAATTCATTCCAAATATAAATTTAGAGAAGTATAAAACAAATATACATATTTTTTACTATATTCTACTCTCATATTTTTCAATATACGAAAAATATATAAGCAACAAATTTTTTTGCATTTTTATTCAACTAATCCATTTAATTATTTTAATCACTTTTGTAAAATAGATTTTCTTCCATTTTTTAATTTATAAAGATTAAAAATAAATTTTAAATTTCATTTTCTTGCTGTTCAAATTGATATAATATTTAATAGCAAATAATGTGTTAACTATTATAAATTTGATATTCCAAATATAAAACTATTTGTTGGACTATCAAATTTACTTAAAATTTTTATTTTTGTAACTTATAATCATTATGTTTTCTTCATATATTACATATTTATGTTAAACTCAGAAAATTCCTTGCAAATTAAAAAAATACCTTCATCAGATGATTGCAAAACATTTATATCTTGAAATGCTTGTTGCAAATCTTCTAAAAGATCTCCATCTGTAACTGTTTTAGTAATAACTAATTTGGTAACTGTTTCTTCCTTCATGTGTTCTGGTGAAGTTTTATCTTGAACATCCTTTTCATCTTTAATAATAATTTGTGAGCTTGAATAATCAGATAACTTATCACTTAAATTATCATCAGATAGCTTTTTAAAAACTTCTTCTGATACTTTTTCAGGTTCATGTTTGATAACTTTTTTAAATATCTCTTCTTGAATTTCTTCATAAGCTTCTTCACTAATATCCTTGGAAGGTGAAATATGTGATATTTTTTCAAAAACTTCTGTTTTTTTAACACTTTCTTCTGCATCTTTTTCAGGAATTCCTCTGCTAATTTTTTCAAATAATTCTTCTGAAATTTCATTTGATATTTTTTTAGAAAGATCTTCAGGAATTTTTTCTGAAGACAATAATGGAGGTCCTTCTTCATAAGTTCTCTCAGAAATTTCTTTCACTTTTTCAAAAATTTCATCAGAAGCCTTCTCTGGAACTTCTCTGCAGATTTTCTCCAGTACTTCTTCAGAAATTTCACTTGAAATTTCTTCAGGCTCTTCAACAGTTTTAGCTATATCTTCAGAAACTTTGATAGATATTTCTTCTGGACTTTTCTCAGATACTTCCTTGGAAGTTATTTCTGAGATTTTAGAAATTTCAACTTCTTTAGAAACTGTTTCAGTTAATGATTTACTTGAATCTACAATAATTGGTTCTACTTTAACTTCAGGCTGTTCTTTATCTTTTTTTGTCACATCTTCAATCAAACTGTCTTGTTTTATAACTTCAATTGGTGATGGAAGTTTCTTTCCTTCTGTGTGAATAATTCATATATTTATTCACTCAGATTAATATGATTTAATAATGATGTGGAAATGTAATATGCCATGAAGCACAAGCAACAGAATAAAGCTATTTTTGGAGAAACATAACTTTTCTTTCTAAGGCATGCCATATCAAATAACTTACCACTGAATAATAGGAAGCATGACAGAATTAAATATTCAATAGCTTAGCAAAAAAATTTAATTTCAACTAGAAAATAATTTTGGTTAACAAAAAGCAAATGTATAACTTAATTTGCAAGTAAGAAAGAAAAAAAATATATAAAGCATAATTCAAATAAATACAATTGTATACTGAATGATGCAATTTCCTTTTCTTCAGTGATATATTGAATAAATTATTTCAGAAATTATAGATCCAGATTTATTGGGAAGTTTATTTTTATGTTATTATTTAAATAAAAAAAACCAAATACTTAACTCATAACACAATTTTCAAAAAATATCTATTTGTGATAATTTGTAAATGGTTAAATTATATTTTCAATAATCACTTCTTCAAAATTATTATTATTTTCTAAATTAGTAATCAAATTAATATCCATTTATAAATGAATAAATATTAATATCAAGAACTGGGTTAACATATTATAATATATTGATTTTTATGTTAGAATTATTAGCATTTATGTAAATTAAATTAATTCTATATAAGCATTTTTAAGTTTTGAATGATTAGTGTTTATTAAAAGCAAACAAAATTAAATAAGCATGAGCTAAATAAAATGGATGAAAAAAGTTAAAAAAATTAAATACAATAAAATTATATACATGTAAAATATAATCCTTAATTTTAGATTGACTTCTTAATCTAATTCTCACAAACTGTGATCAGCTAGCTTTACTTCAAGAAGTCTTACTTCTAAAAGATTATCTTGTATAAAACAGGACTTCTTGAATTTAGCTGATTGCATTTTGTAAATATTAAATAAGATATGTAATATGCCAAAAGTCAGAATAAATAGTTTTAAATTGAAAAAATAATATATTCATTTATACTGAAACATTATTAAAAACTTTTAAAATATAAAAATAGTAGTTTTTCTTTAAAAAATTATTTAATATAATTTTATTTATTCCAGAAAACTTCAAAAACTACTACTATTCAAATATTTACTTATTATTTATTTTTCAAAATTTATATAATCTGTTCATAAAAGTTTTGTAGACTAAAAATGAAAAACTTAAAGTTTTGTACAAAATAAAACCATATGTAACAAGCATAGAAAAATAAATTTATTCTTAGTATAAAATATATGCTTATTATGATTTAGTATGATTATCTTTATTGTTAAAAAGCATAGTACAATTTTGCAATTCCATAAACATATTTTCCTATCAATATTTTAAAACAGTGCAATCAGTATTAACATTCAATCCATATTGCTGTCTCTGAACAGCAAACATTTGTGTCAGCCTCTGGACTTGGCTATCTTCAGTCCATTAGAAATAATAATAAATGCAGAGACAGCCGACTGAAGGGAAGACAGCTATTTTACCATCCATAGGTAAAACATAAGGGTCTATAAGGAAAGATTAATTTACTAGACTACTAAATGAATCTTAAACTCTGAACCATGCATATGAAAACTTGAAATCAGGGAGTTCCAAAAGAGTAAAATTGCATCTCTCAATAAAAACAATGTGTTAAGCCATCATTCAACAAGTTTTTTGAATAAAAGATGGCTATTCTTCAACATTCTCTAATTTTTATTTTTTGATATGTGATTTTTAGCTCAGAATTTAACTCACTATTTTTGTCAGTATAACTTTTGACTGTAAAACTTGTTTTATGGAAAAAATTATTGTTTTTATTTTATATAAACAGAACCAACCATATCCTCATTGCAATTTTAAAGTGCATAAGAACTTAATTACTTATTAACACTATTGAAAAAATTTATTCTGACTTTTGACTTGAGATACCTGTAAAATATATTTACTATTAATTCAATTAATTTATATTTTATATAGTTATCACTACTTCTTAAAATAATAAATGATTTGTATGTTTGTGTTTGTTTATTTGTGTTCATGTGTCTATATCATTAACAAAATGATTTTATCTTTTAAAAAAAAATTTGCTAATTAAATCAAAATAAATGCCAAAATTTGATTTAAAAACTTTTAAACTTTTAATAAACTTACAAAAACTTTAATCCCCAAATTATCATCTTTAAATATTGAATACGTTAGATAATCTATAGGCCATTAACTTAGAAAATATACAAATGAAACAATTTCAAAAATATTTGTTGATTATTATATCTAAAAAAAACTAAGCTTTATTAGTCACTTTTTGACAATATTTACCAGAATTAATCGATCCTTTAAACTTCTACTATATCCATTATTATAGATAATAGAAAGATCCATAAAAAATTCACAAAACTTGACATGTTCATAAACAAATAAATCAGACAACTTTTCATCGCAAATAGCTAACAATTTTAATAAAAAATATGTTTTCTTCTTAAAGCAAAATATATATGATACAGCAGTAAAAATTTATTAATCCAACATTTACAGGACCAGAATGATGTTGAATTATCAAAAATGTCAAATTATCACATATTTTTGCAAAATTTGATATGGTATATACAGTCTTAATATTGAGACTTTGCTGCTGAGACAAGTGCATACTGCTGTATGCTTCTGATTTGCTTATACATGCTCTTTAATTAATCTAAAGATGATACTGTACAATGCATGACTATTGTGTTAAGAATAATTGAAAAACTTTCAAAAACATTAATGAACATGTTATTGTACAAAATCTACATTAATTCATGTATATATGTTATCAATATATGTATTCTACTGTATGTTAAAATGAAAAACAAAAACCTTTTTAATCCAGAATTATTTTTAAACACAATACTGTAAGTTATATTATACTGTAATATTTATTTTCCAGATGTGTACTGTATAGATATGAGTCACAAAAGCTATACACATGTTCTGAGTTTGAAAAACCTGTTTCTAGGTACACTTTCCTTGCATTAGCCTGTGGAAAAAAATATACATCAGTCACACAATTTATTAAACATACAAACATGTGTTACCTCTAATGAAACAATGTTCATTTGGCACAATATAATGTACAGTAATTATGTATACTTTACTGAATTACACTGCACAGAAGTTTTGAAGTTCTCCTATATGTAAGATGGTATTGCATAAGCTGCTGGAATTAGGTTGTTGATGCCTTTCTGCCACCAACTTGTTTGCCAATTGTGTTGTAAACATATATTAGGACCTGGAAATACTAATGAAAGCATCTAATCCAACATAAATAAGATGCTGTAACAAAATGAATATAATCATTTCTCTCAATCCCATGATCAACTTCTCAATATGTAGCAATTTTATGGCTGTGCTCGCCACCTTTGCCTTGATTTCTTTCCATGTTCTTTAGCACACTATTTGTCCAAACAAATTCTGATTTTCAGATTCAGGTGTCAGATTATATATAGGAAAAGTTCATTAATCTTGTGCAGAGCAAAGTTGAATACAGTCAGAACTTTGGCAAAAACATGTTTATTTTATTGCTTTTATTATAACTACAAGTGTTGACTACTTGAAATAAATAGTTATCTGATTTATTTATTTATTTATTTAAAGAGTTTTTCATTTATTGTTCCAATATATAGAAATGACTTAAATTTTTGCACTTATATTTAGCTGATTTTATATTATACAAATGTAACTAAAGTTCATTTTCAGCTTTACTTAATAAAAAAAAATTAAAAAAAGTATTGAACTTTGTAACATTTTTTCAAAAAATTGTATTATGATATAAAAATAACATTGCATGTATATTTTACAACTAAAGTAATTTTCATTTTCAGAAATTATTTCAGATATTTGGAAATTATAAGTTTACAATTTATAAATATAATAACTTTAAGTGGCTTAATTGCTAAGATAATATGGAAAGTATTAAACATGATCTAATAATAATTTAGAGAGAATTAGACCAATGGAATTTCAATATCTCAAGTTCATGTATTAACAAATACTTTATAAAAAGTTAGTCTATTGAAAAAAAAAAAAATGTTCTTAGAATTCATTTATTAAGTTTCATATAGAAATATTTAATAATCATTATTAACAAGTAGAGATTTTTATATTCTAAAATAATTATTGTTTCCTTACAAACTTACAATATTTCTCATCACTATTCAATATCGTTGATATTTCCTGTTCCTACTTCTTATTAAAGTTATCCCAAGAACAATATTTTTACATAAGAATACTATCATCTAACAAGTTAGAAATTTAACAATATTTAAAACTTTAATAAGTAAGACAGCTACATATTCAAGATTGCAAGAAAACTGCATTATAAAATTTAACAAAAATTGGTGGATGAAAAGATCATGAGCAAAGAATAATCATAATCATTTCAGACAAAAATTTGTAGATAACAAATATTAACTATCATGAGACCATCACACTAAAGACAATCATAACTGTAAGTTGACTTTTATTATGCAAATTAGAATGGATAAAATAATGTGAATGATATTAGTAGAAGTAAAATTTTTATAATTCCTTTTATATAAAAAGTTAATTGCATATTTTATATTAGTAAAACAACCATAAGAAAAAATTTTTTTATAATGCTGATAAAAGATTTTGACAGCTATATGATATTTGCCTTAGATTTACATATAATGTAATTTTATGAAAGATAATAGTTATTTATTCATTTTTAAAATAACATCCTAATATTGGGTTGTTCGGAACATTCGTAGCGATTTTTGATAGCCAACAGTTGAGACACTGATTGATGCGAAAATGATTAGAATTATAGAAACCAATAAATATTATGATATTCTTTTCATTTGTCAATTTGTTCATATGATACAGCAGTAAAAATTTATTAATCCAATCAGCCTATGAGTTTTAACATAGATGAGTATGATAGATAGCCTATGAGTTTTAACAGTTGAAACTCATAGATAGCTATGAGTTTCAACTATCTATAGTTGAAACTCATAGAAATCCATCCATTACAAAAAAAAACCCATTAAGATTATTCAAATATTGTTTAATTTGTCTCATTTCAAAAAATGGATGTGAACAACATGCATTATTGACACTTGTTTCTTTTTTTTTTTTATTGTAAAGGCAAAAATGCTGTACAAACAGCAAAAAATATGTGATGTTTATTTTGGAAGTGCTGTAGCAGAATCAACTGTTCGAAAGTGGTTTGCAAAATTTAAAAAGGGTAATTTCAGCCTTGAAGATGCCCCCACTAAGGAAGACCTCCAGTTATTGAAGAGAACCAGATCAAAGCATTATTGGATAAAAACCCTCATTGCACAACTTGAGAGATCGCAGACATAATGAAGTCATCAAACAGTACTGTATTTCAACATTTAAAGAAGCTCGAATACGTGAATTGTTACAACATTTGGAAACCTCATGACTTAACAGAAAAGAACTTACTGAATCGCATCTCCATTTGTGATTCTCTTGAAAGACCAAATGAAAATGACCCTTTTCTAAAGCATTTAGTGACAGATGATGAAAAGTGGATAATTTATAACAACATCTGAAAACAATCATGGGGTAAGAAAAACAAACCACCATGAAAAACTCCAAAGGCCAGTCTTCATCCAAAGAAGGTCATGCTCACCATCTGGTGGGATTAGAAAGGAATCCTGTACTACGATCTGCTTCCACAAAATCAAACAATTGATTCTGACAAGTATTGTTCCCAATTGGATACACTGAACATGGTAATTAAAGAAAAATGTACGAAAATGGCCAATAGAAAAGGCAATGTGTTTCACCAATATAATGCCAGACTGCACACGTCTTTACAAACATGCCAAAAATTATTGGAGCCAGGCAGGGATGTTTTACCCCACCTCCCCATACTCACCTGACCTTGCCCCGTTGGACTACCATTTGTTCCATTCTCTGCAAAATTCCCTTCATGATAAAAACTCTTTGATCTTTGGAAGCTTGCAAAAACCATGTGGATCAGTTTTTTGCAGGAAAAACTGGAAACTTCTATAAAGAGGGTATATGAAGTTCCCCTGTAGATGGCAACACGTCATTAAAACAATGGCACATACATAATGGAATAAAAGTATATTTTTTGTTTTAAAACAGTTTCTTTTATTTCTCTTAAAAATCGCTATGAACTTTCCATACAAACCAATAAAATTTAGGAAAATTATTATGCTTTTTTAAATAAAATTATTGTTATCATGAATATGGTTTTAAATATCAATTATTANATAAATATAAAACTGATTTAAATTGTCATAAATTATATTTTAAAAAAATTAACTAAATTATATTTAAAAAAGATTACCGTAATTTTGTGCAGATGACTCATAAATGAGTTTAAAAGTCAATTTGAAAATGGAAGTGTGTTATGCAATAATACAGATTATCTGTTTTAACTTGCAATTATGAAATCATTAAACAGTTTTTTATTTCTTTAAATTTAACAAGAGCATCTTTAGAAGATGTGCAAATCCTTTGTGCACTACAAAAATATTCATTTGCCATCATAATTATTCCAAAACCCCAAAGATAAAGGCATATAAGTCTATTCCTTTAGTTTTCTTGTATTCATATTCTCTACACCAAACCATATTTTAATTGATTTTATCAGACATTTTTAGTTAAATCTGCATCTTGAAAACTGAAAAGTTTCCAGTAATTCTACCTTCTCTGCATAATAATAATACCCAGAGCACTATTTAGAAGCAAATTGTCAATTTTAGTACATGTTAATTTGTTATAGTAAATGAGATCTAAGTGATCAATTCTTAAATACATATCATTAGATACAGTTTGTGTGCAACTTTCTTAGCAAAATCAACAATGATATTAATGGCAATTCCTTTATGGCAATTCCACTTATTTACTAGACCTGGTGAAGCAATCATTCCTGTCCCATCATATAGAAAATGCTACTACTCTGAACCATCTTGATTCCAGACTCTTCAAACACCAAGTTTATTACAGAATATTATTAGATTTTAAATAATATTTATGTATTTAATAAATAAAACAAAAATAAAGTGAAACAATAAAAAGCCTATTTGTATTTTTAACACAATGAAGTTTAGACAGGTCCATCTCAAATACAATCTGTTAAATAAATTATCACACCTCAAAGCTGGCATACAATATTAATCAAATTCTGCATATGGAACACTAGTAAAAAAATAAAAGTTTCATTACATCATTCTAGATGTAACTAAAACAGTTAAATATTTTTGCAGAGGTGTAACCTCTAATAAAAGGTCATCTCTGTACAGGAAGACTGTTTGTTCCTGGTCAGTGGACATGGCAGAGATGTGAAGACTGTTTGTTCCTGGTCAGTGGACATGGCAGAGATGTGAAGACATATTTAATTTCTTATCATCACTTTATGAAAGTTGGAACCAGTTATGGTATAAGTAACATACCTTTCTCATACTCCCAGAAATTTAACAAGTCTTAGTCGATGTTTGATAAGCAATGCTGGTAACTGAAAGCCAGCCCCTAAAAGAGGCTGAAACAATTTGTGATAATAATTTTGCATTGCTGGAAGTATGAGAAAGGTGTGTTATTTGTAAACATTTAGATTATTCTATGTATTTTTAATAGGCAAAATAGCATCAGCTATTTTAATTGAAATTATGTTGCTTACAAGTGTTTAGAAGTGTGGTGTATATAGTGTTTTTTTTTCTGTTTTAAATTTTTTTTTGCAGGGTACACAGCAGTGCAAGTTATACATCATCATCTACACAAAATTATGGTATATTATTTAAAAATAATAATTAATTAAAATAATAAAAAATTATAAGTTATTGTTTTCTTGCAAAATTATATTAATGTACAATAATTTTAGCATTTTGAAATAATTTTGTTATTTTTTTATAATATTTTAAGTTTATTGAAAAACAACAACAAATTCGTTTATGAAAAAAGTCAGTATATTAAATTAATGCAGCAATTATAAAACTGAGTAGTATGTTATTTTCATTTATTTGATTTGGAAATTATGAGATTCAAAAATATTCCTCTTAAATAAAATTCAATTTCTAAAATTAAAAAAATTATTATTATTTTTACTTTGGATAAAAATTGCATTATCTGATATATAAATTTATACTAAATATATCAAAAAGTCAACATATATTTACACGAACGATTTATTTTCAGTTTGTAATAAGATAAATTTCTTTTATAAGATAAGTTCTCTACAATTAATAATTTTGATGATGGATACATAAGTATTATTTTATTTTATAATTTAAATTTTAGAAAATTCAAAAAGAGATGAGATTATTTAAATTTTTATATTTATAATTTTGTTAAATATACTATAATATTTTTATTTAATAAAATTACTTATAGACATATTTATTGTATAATCTTACATTAAAAATATAAGGCTTTTAAAATTAACACTATATTTAAAAGCAAAATAAAATTGTCTTAGTGAACACATCATCATAATGCCATTAGATAAAAAAATTATTTTATTTTTAATAATTTTTCCTGTATGTATAAAAAATTATTGATCCTTAATTGTTGTATAGATCATTATAATAAATTCAGACAAATAATACAACAGTCATTGCTAGCTGATAATTTAATTCATTCCAAATATAAATTTAGAGAAGTATAAAACAAATATACATATTTTTTACTATATTCTACTCTCATATTTTTCAATATACGAAAAATATATAAGCAACAAATTTTTTTGCATTTTTATTCAACTAATCCATTTAATTATTTTAATCACTTTTGTAAAATAGATTTTCTTCCATTTTTTAATTTATAAAGATTAAAAATAAATTTTAAATTTCATTTTCTTGCTGTTCAAATTGATATAATATTTAATAGCAAATAATGTGTTAACTATTATAAATTTGATATTCCAAATATAAAACTATTTGTTGGACTATCAAATTTACTTAAAATTTTTATTTTTGTAACTTATAATCATTATGTTTTCTTCATATATTACATATTTATGTTAAACTCAGAAAATTCCTTGCAAATTAAAAAAATACCTTCATCAGATGATTGCAAAACATTTATATCTTGAAATGCTTGTTGCAAATCTTCTAAAAGATCTCCATCTGTAACTGTTTTAGTAATAACTAATTTGGTAACTGTTTCTTCCTTCATGTGTTCTGGTGAAGTTTTATCTTGAACATCCTTTTCATCTTTAATAATAATTTGTGAGCTTGAATAATCAGATAACTTATCACTTAAATTATCATCAGATAGCTTTTTAAAAACTTCTTCTGATACTTTTTCAGGTTCATGTTTGATAACTTTTTTAAATATCTCTTCTTGAATTTCTTCATAAGCTTCTTCACTAATATCCTTGGAAGGTGAAATATGTGATATTTTTTCAAAAACTTCTGTTTTTTTAACACTTTCTTCTGCATCTTTTTCAGGAATTCCTCTGCTAATTTTTTCAAATAATTCTTCTGAAATTTCATTTGATATTTTTTTAGAAAGATCTTCAGGAATTTTTTCTGAAGACAATAATGGAGGTCCTTCTTCATAAGTTCTCTCAGAAATTTCTTTCACTTTTTCAAAAATTTCATCAGAAGCCTTCTCTGGAACTTCTCTGCAGATTTTCTCCAGTACTTCTTCAGAAATTTCACTTGAAATTTCTTCAGGCTCTTCAACAGTTTTAGCTATATCTTCAGAAACTTTGATAGATATTTCTTCTGGACTTTTCTCAGATACTTCCTTGGAAGTTATTTCTGAGATTTTAGAAATTTCAACTTCTTTAGAAACTGTTTCAGTTAATGATTTACTTGAATCTACAATAATTGGTTCTACTTTAACTTCAGGCTGTTCTTTATCTTTTTTTGTCACATCTTCAATCAAACTGTCTTGTTTTATAACTTCAATTGGTGATGGAAGTTTCTTTCCTTCTGTGTGAATAATTCATATATTTATTCACTCAGATTAATATGATTTAATAATGATGTGGAAATGTAATATGCCATGAAGCACAAGCAACAGAATAAAGCTATTTTTGGAGAAACATAACTTTTCTTTCTAAGGCATGCCATATCAAATAACTTACCACTGAATAATAGGAAGCATGACAGAATTAAATATTCAATAGCTTAGCAAAAAAATTTAATTTCAACTAGAAAATAATTTTGGTTAACAAAAAGCAAATGTATAACTTAATTTGCAAGTAAGAAAGAAAAAAAATATATAAAGCATAATTCAAATAAATACAATTGTATACTGAATGATGCAATTTCCTTTTCTTCAGTGATATATTGAATAAATTATTTCAGAAATTATAGATCCAGATTTATTGGGAAGTTTATTTTTATGTTATTATTTAAATAAAAAAAACCAAATACTTAACTCATAACACAATTTTCAAAAAATATCTATTTGTGATAATTTGTAAATGGTTAAATTATATTTTCAATAATCACTTCTTCAAAATTATTATTATTTTCTAAATTAGTAATCAAATTAATATCCATTTATAAATGAATAAATATTAATATCAAGAACTGGGTTAACATATTATAATATATTGATTTTTATGTTAGAATTATTAGCATTTATGTAAATTAAATTAATTCTATATAAGCATTTTTAAGTTTTGAATGATTAGTGTTTATTAAAAGCAAACAAAATTAAATAAGCATGAGCTAAATAAAATGGATGAAAAAAGTTAAAAAAATTAAATACAATAAAATTATATACATGTAAAATATAATCCTTAATTTTAGATTGACTTCTTAATCTAATTCTCACAAACTGTGATCAGCTAGCTTTACTTCAAGAAGTCTTACTTCTAAAAGATTATCTTGTATAAAACAGGACTTCTTGAATTTAGCTGATTGCATTTTGTAAATATTAAATAAGATATGTAATATGCCAAAAGTCAGAATAAATAGTTTTAAATTGAAAAAATAATATATTCATTTATACTGAAACATTATTAAAAACTTTTAAAATATAAAAATAGTAGTTTTTCTTTAAAAAATTATTTAATATAATTTTATTTATTCCAGAAAACTTCAAAAACTACTACTATTCAAATATTTACTTATTATTTATTTTTCAAAATTTATATAATCTGTTCATAAAAGTTTTGTAGACTAAAAATGAAAAACTTAAAGTTTTGTACAAAATAAAACCATATGTAACAAGCATAGAAAAATAAATTTATTCTTAGTATAAAATATATGCTTATTATGATTTAGTATGATTATCTTTATTGTTAAAAAGCATAGTACAATTTTGCAATTCCATAAACATATTTTCCTATCAATATTTTAAAACAGTGCAATCAGTATTAACATTCAATCCATATTGCTGTCTCTGAACAGCAAACATTTGTGTCAGCCTCTGGACTTGGCTATCTTCAGTCCATTAGAAATAATAATAAATGCAGAGACAGCCGACTGAAGGGAAGACAGCTATTTTACCATCCATAGGTAAAACATAAGGGTCTATAAGGAAAGATTAATTTACTAGACTACTAAATGAATCTTAAACTCTGAACCATGCATATGAAAACTTGAAATCAGGGAGTTCCAAAAGAGTAAAATTGCATCTCTCAATAAAAACAATGTGTTAAGCCATCATTCAACAAGTTTTTTGAATAAAAGATGGCTATTCTTCAACATTCTCTAATTTTTATTTTTTGATATGTGATTTTTAGCTCAGAATTTAACTCACTATTTTTGTCAGTATAACTTTTGACTGTAAAACTTGTTTTATGGAAAAAATTATTGTTTTTATTTTATATAAACAGAACCAACCATATCCTCATTGCAATTTTAAAGTGCATAAGAACTTAATTACTTATTAACACTATTGAAAAAATTTATTCTGACTTTTGACTTGAGATACCTGTAAAATATATTTACTATTAATTCAATTAATTTATATTTTATATAGTTATCACTACTTCTTAAAATAATAAATGATTTGTATGTTTGTGTTTGTTTATTTGTGTTCATGTGTCTATATCATTAACAAAATGATTTTATCTTTTAAAAAAAAATTTGCTAATTAAATCAAAATAAATGCCAAAATTTGATTTAAAAACTTTTAAACTTTTAATAAACTTACAAAAACTTTAATCCCCAAATTATCATCTTTAAATATTGAATACGTTAGATAATCTATAGGCCATTAACTTAGAAAATATACAAATGAAACAATTTCAAAAATATTTGTTGATTATTATATCTAAAAAAAACTAAGCTTTATTAGTCACTTTTTGACAATATTTACCAGAATTAATCGATCCTTTAAACTTCTACTATATCCATTATTATAGATAATAGAAAGATCCATAAAAAATTCACAAAACTTGACATGTTCATAAACAAATAAATCAGACAACTTTTCATCGCAAATAGCTAACAATTTTAATAAAAAATATGTTTTCTTCTTAAAGCAAAATATATATGATACAGCAGTAAAAATTTATTAATCCAACATTTACAGGACCAGAATGATGTTGAATTATCAAAAATGTCAAATTATCACATATTTTTGCAAAATTTGATATGGTATATACAGTCTTAATATTGAGACTTTGCTGCTGAGACAAGTGCATACTGCTGTATGCTTCTGATTTGCTTATACATGCTCTTTAATTAATCTAAAGATGATACTGTACAATGCATGACTATTGTGTTAAGAATAATTGAAAAACTTTCAAAAACATTAATGAACATGTTATTGTACAAAATCTACATTAATTCATGTATATATGTTATCAATATATGTATTCTACTGTATGTTAAAATGAAAAACAAAAACCTTTTTAATCCAGAATTATTTTTAAACACAATACTGTAAGTTATATTATACTGTAATATTTATTTTCCAGATGTGTACTGTATAGATATGAGTCACAAAAGCTATACACATGTTCTGAGTTTGAAAAACCTGTTTCTAGGTACACTTTCCTTGCATTAGCCTGTGGAAAAAAATATACATCAGTCACACAATTTATTAAACATACAAACATGTGTTACCTCTAATGAAACAATGTTCATTTGGCACAATATAATGTACAGTAATTATGTATACTTTACTGAATTACACTGCACAGAAGTTTTGAAGTTCTCCTATATGTAAGATGGTATTGCATAAGCTGCTGGAATTAGGTTGTTGATGCCTTTCTGCCACCAACTTGTTTGCCAATTGTGTTGTAAACATATATTAGGACCTGGAAATACTAATGAAAGCATCTAATCCAACATAAATAAGATGCTGTAACAAAATGAATATAATCATTTCTCTCAATCCCATGATCAACTTCTCAATATGTAGCAATTTTATGGCTGTGCTCGCCACCTTTGCCTTGATTTCTTTCCATGTTCTTTAGCACACTATTTGTCCAAACAAATTCTGATTTTCAGATTCAGGTGTCAGATTATATATAGGAAAAGTTCATTAATCTTGTGCAGAGCAAAGTTGAATACAGTCAGAACTTTGGCAAAAACATGTTTATTTTATTGCTTTTATTATAACTACAAGTGTTGACTACTTGAAATAAATAGTTATCTGATTTATTTATTTATTTATTTAAAGAGTTTTTCATTTATTGTTCCAATATATAGAAATGACTTAAATTTTTGCACTTATATTTAGCTGATTTTATATTATACAAATGTAACTAAAGTTCATTTTCAGCTTTACTTAATAAAAAAAAATTAAAAAAAGTATTGAACTTTGTAACATTTTTTCAAAAAATTGTATTATGATATAAAAATAACATTGCATGTATATTTTACAACTAAAGTAATTTTCATTTTCAGAAATTATTTCAGATATTTGGAAATTATAAGTTTACAATTTATAAATATAATAACTTTAAGTGGCTTAATTGCTAAGATAATATGGAAAGTATTAAACATGATCTAATAATAATTTAGAGAGAATTAGACCAATGGAATTTCAATATCTCAAGTTCATGTATTAACAAATACTTTATAAAAAGTTAGTCTATTGAAAAAAAAAAAAATGTTCTTAGAATTCATTTATTAAGTTTCATATAGAAATATTTAATAATCATTATTAACAAGTAGAGATTTTTATATTCTAAAATAATTATTGTTTCCTTACAAACTTACAATATTTCTCATCACTATTCAATATCGTTGATATTTCCTGTTCCTACTTCTTATTAAAGTTATCCCAAGAACAATATTTTTACATAAGAATACTATCATCTAACAAGTTAGAAATTTAACAATATTTAAAACTTTAATAAGTAAGACAGCTACATATTCAAGATTGCAAGAAAACTGCATTATAAAATTTAACAAAAATTGGTGGATGAAAAGATCATGAGCAAAGAATAATCATAATCATTTCAGACAAAAATTTGTAGATAACAAATATTAACTATCATGAGACCATCACACTAAAGACAATCATAACTGTAAGTTGACTTTTATTATGCAAATTAGAATGGATAAAATAATGTGAATGATATTAGTAGAAGTAAAATTTTTATAATTCCTTTTATATAAAAAGTTAATTGCATATTTTATATTAGTAAAACAACCATAAGAAAAAATTTTTTTATAATGCTGATAAAAGATTTTGACAGCTATATGATATTTGCCTTAGATTTACATATAATGTAATTTTATGAAAGATAATAGTTATTTATTCATTTTTAAAATAACATCCTAATATTGGGTTGTTCGGAACATTCGTAGCGATTTTTGATAGCCAACAGTTGAGACACTGATTGATGCGAAAATGATTAGAATTATAGAAACCAATAAATATTATGATATTCTTTTCATTTGTCAATTTGTTCATATGATACAGCAGTAAAAATTTATTAATCCAATCAGCCTATGAGTTTTAACATAGATGAGTATGATAGATAGCCTATGAGTTTTAACAGTTGAAACTCATAGATAGCTATGAGTTTCAACTATCTATAGTTGAAACTCATAGAAATCCATCCATTACAAAAAAAAACCCATTAAGATTATTCAAATATTGTTTAATTTGTCTCATTTCAAAAAATGGATGTGAACAACATGCATTATTGACACTTGTTTCTTTTTTTTTTTTATTGTAAAGGCAAAAATGCTGTACAAACAGCAAAAAATATGTGATGTTTATTTTGGAAGTGCTGTAGCAGAATCAACTGTTCGAAAGTGGTTTGCAAAATTTAAAAAGGGTAATTTCAGCCTTGAAGATGCCCCCACTAAGGAAGACCTCCAGTTATTGAAGAGAACCAGATCAAAGCATTATTGGATAAAAACCCTCATTGCACAACTTGAGAGATCGCAGACATAATGAAGTCATCAAACAGTACTGTATTTCAACATTTAAAGAAGCTCGAATACGTGAATTGTTACAACATTTGGAAACCTCATGACTTAACAGAAAAGAACTTACTGAATCGCATCTCCATTTGTGATTCTCTTGAAAGACCAAATGAAAATGACCCTTTTCTAAAGCATTTAGTGACAGATGATGAAAAGTGGATAATTTATAACAACATCTGAAAACAATCATGGGGTAAGAAAAACAAACCACCATGAAAAACTCCAAAGGCCAGTCTTCATCCAAAGAAGGTCATGCTCACCATCTGGTGGGATTAGAAAGGAATCCTGTACTACGATCTGCTTCCACAAAATCAAACAATTGATTCTGACAAGTATTGTTCCCAATTGGATACACTGAACATGGTAATTAAAGAAAAATGTACGAAAATGGCCAATAGAAAAGGCAATGTGTTTCACCAATATAATGCCAGACTGCACACGTCTTTACAAACATGCCAAAAATTATTGGAGCCAGGCAGGGATGTTTTACCCCACCTCCCCATACTCACCTGACCTTGCCCCGTTGGACTACCATTTGTTCCATTCTCTGCAAAATTCCCTTCATGATAAAAACTCTTTGATCTTTGGAAGCTTGCAAAAACCATGTGGATCAGTTTTTTGCAGGAAAAACTGGAAACTTCTATAAAGAGGGTATATGAAGTTCCCCTGTAGATGGCAACACGTCATTAAAACAATGGCACATACATAATGGAATAAAAGTATATTTTTTGTTTTAAAACAGTTTCTTTTATTTCTCTTAAAAATCGCTATGAACTTTCCATACAAACCAATAAAATTTAGGAAAATTATTATGCTTTTTTAAATAAAATTATTGTTATCATGAATATGGTTTTAAATATCAATTATTAAATCATTTATAATAGTTTATATTTTTATTTTTATGCATCTACATAAAAATTTTAACTGAAGTTTTATTTAACTAACTTTTTAATTTTAAAATACAATAATTACTCCAAGAAAATAAATTATAATTAATAAAATTAATATATTCAACTGTAGAATATCGCTAGATGGTAATTAAGTTTAAAATTAAAATTGATGTAGGCTTTAATTATATAGTTATTTTTTTATATTTTTTTTTCAGATCTTTGGATGAAGAACTTTTTGGATGTTAATTATATTGTACATTTTGATAAACAAATTTATGGCAAATGTTAATTTCTATTACTTTATTTGTGGATAATACGATGAAAAAAAAAAAAAAGCAGAGTTAAATAATGACTATACTAAGCAGATGTGAAAATAAGGATAGTAGAGGAAGAAATAATCTTCACTGCTTAAAAAGTATTTATCATTAAAATATTTCATTTTTACTGGTTCTTGGTGTCTTTGTGGGTTTATTTATTAAAAAGAGTTGTTATAAGGAAAAGCTACTTCTAAGATTTTGGATATGTTAAAACTCATAGGCTGATTGGGATTAATAACTATGCACATGTAATTACAAAGTTATAAGTAATTAATATTAAAAAAATAAAATTTTTTTCTACATTTCCATATAATCTAATCAATGCAATTAAGTCATATCATTTTAAAGCAATTTTGTTATAAATCTTTCAGCTGTACTCAAGCATTTCATTGAAACAAATGAAAACAATGAAATATGAAAAAATCAAAAAGAATAAATGTGATTTGGTTTATGTTTTAATAAACATTCAGTTGTCAGTGTAAGAGATTCGTAATAGTTTTTTTGTACACAAAATATTCAATATGTAGACATTAATATTGAAGTAAAATATTAAAAGGAAGAGTACTAAAAATTAGAAATAATTTTATTTTTAAATGCTTACAATGTTCAATTATCTCTTATTCAAAATCCTTACACACTTATAGATGCATACCTTTTGTGTGAAGATCTTTCTCACAAACTGATCCTGATTCACTACTAGTTTCTGCTGCTGATTCAGCCTCCTATAATATTTTGAATAAATTTTCACTTAATTTATAACTGACAATTGTATAAAATAAAATTTCTGCATTTTCATGCACATAGCTTACAGAAAATTGATAAAACAAAAATAAAACCTTCATTTAACCTACTTCACAATATATTCCATGTCTATGGTAGCAGTCATTGCTCCATAGTCATGAATTTGTAATTGCAATTTAAAATTGGCATCCTATCACATAATTTAAAAGGAAGTGCGGGTTATATTTTAAAAACAGGGTGATATACACAAAAATATTGTACTATTAAATAAAAAATATAAATTTATTTTTGTGACTGTTTATTTCTGTGATCAAAATTCAGCAATAAATTGTTAGAAACACAACATGAAAATTTCTATTTTCCATTTATATTTTGGATGAAATAATGAAAGCATAAATCTTAAGCAGAACTAATCTTTTATATGAATAAGGTAATCTTATTCTAAAATGTAAAAAAATTGACATTGCATCAGATGCTTCAACATGATATCAAATAAGTCATGTGATCAATTCTAGTAAACAATCATTTGTTTCCTAGGTTTCTGACATCAATGATAGATGTTACAAACAATTAATGAACATTTCACTTGTTGTTTATAAAATAATGACTGCTAGTGATACTGAACAATTAATTACAGCTTTATGTGTAGCTTTGTTTGTTTTTAAACTGTCATTTTTTAACTCAGATAATTATCAAAAACCATCAGCACTCTTTCATAACTGATCAGCAAGACTGAGGTACTTGCATGAGATATATATTTACTGTTCACTGACAGGCATGTTTCCAGACTAAACAATAAATTGTCAATTAGACTACTCTTTTCCATAAATTGGATATTAGAACTTTTATGCTATAACTTGTATGTGATTCATCTTTGGCTTACAATTCATGCAATAAATATTAGCTACTTTTGAATATAATTATGAAACAGTCCAAAAGCTGGACTTTTTCAAACAGCTTAAAAAATCAGGGCAGTATTAAAACTGAGACATTGTATCAAAAAGCAGGAATATCCTCTCTTATTTGGAACATCTGGCCACTTTACATATGACATACACCTCCATATTTATGAAAGTATATGTAATATATAGAAAGATTAGCTGTAACCAAGTATTGTGCTTCCAACATATATTCTATAATCCTTCTAAAACACTGACTTTTTATTATTATTTAGTTTCATTTTTCTTTCATTATATTTTAGAGATGAAAAAGACAACTTTCATTTGTATCAGAATTAGGCATTTGATATTACTATTATTATTCATGTAATAATTTATACTGACTCATGGTAATTTCACTTCAAATTTCCTTACAAAGAAAGAGAAAAAACTATTATCAATCAAGTAATTTGTCCACAAAAAAAAAAAAAAATCAAAGTGCTAAAACATAAGATATTTAAATAGCAAACAAATGGAATAGTTTATCCTTATACAATGTTAATTACAATTGTTTTTTCAAGAAAACCATTAGTTAATGTTTGACACGTATCTTATCCTATCGACTAAGAGAAGTATATAAGAGAGTGTTTATAGCCAAATTTTACTAGAAATATTTGGCACAGAAACATAAAAATGAAGAATTTCAGTTACATTTAGATCATTTTTTTGCTCTGTAGCAAAATCTTTTTTTTCAACTTAAGATACCTTTTCAAAGATTGCGTCATGTATATGTATATACATGATAATATANATTTATAAAGATTAAAAATAAATTTTAAATTTCATTTTCTTGCTGTTCAAATTGATATAATATTTAATAGCAAATAATGTGTTAACTATTATAAATTTGATATTCCAAATATAAAACTATTTGTTGGACTATCAAATTTACTTAAAATTTTTATTTTTGTAACTTATAATCATTATGTTTTCTTCATATATTACATATTTATGTTAAACTCAGAAAATTCCTTGCAAATTAAAAAAATACCTTCATCAGATGATTGCAAAACATTTATATCTTGAAATGCTTGTTGCAAATCTTCTAAAAGATCTCCATCTGTAACTGTTTTAGTAATAACTAATTTGGTAACTGTTTCTTCCTTCATGTGTTCTGGTGAAGTTTTATCTTGAACATCCTTTTCATCTTTAATAATAATTTGTGAGCTTGAATAATCAGATAACTTATCACTTAAATTATCATCAGATAGCTTTTTAAAAACTTCTTCTGATACTTTTTCAGGTTCATGTTTGATAACTTTTTTAAATATCTCTTCTTGAATTTCTTCATAAGCTTCTTCACTAATATCCTTGGAAGGTGAAATATGTGATATTTTTTCAAAAACTTCTGTTTTTTTAACACTTTCTTCTGCATCTTTTTCAGGAATTCCTCTGCTAATTTTTTCAAATAATTCTTCTGAAATTTCATTTGATATTTTTTTAGAAAGATCTTCAGGAATTTTTTCTGAAGACAATAATGGAGGTCCTTCTTCATAAGTTCTCTCAGAAATTTCTTTCACTTTTTCAAAAATTTCATCAGAAGCCTTCTCTGGAACTTCTCTGCAGATTTTCTCCAGTACTTCTTCAGAAATTTCACTTGAAATTTCTTCAGGCTCTTCAACAGTTTTAGCTATATCTTCAGAAACTTTGATAGATATTTCTTCTGGACTTTTCTCAGATACTTCCTTGGAAGTTATTTCTGAGATTTTAGAAATTTCAACTTCTTTAGAAACTGTTTCAGTTAATGATTTACTTGAATCTACAATAATTGGTTCTACTTTAACTTCAGGCTGTTCTTTATCTTTTTTTGTCACATCTTCAATCAAACTGTCTTGTTTTATAACTTCAATTGGTGATGGAAGTTTCTTTCCTTCTGTGTGAATAATTCATATATTTATTCACTCAGATTAATATGATTTAATAATGATGTGGAAATGTAATATGCCATGAAGCACAAGCAACAGAATAAAGCTATTTTTGGAGAAACATAACTTTTCTTTCTAAGGCATGCCATATCAAATAACTTACCACTGAATAATAGGAAGCATGACAGAATTAAATATTCAATAGCTTAGCAAAAAAATTTAATTTCAACTAGAAAATAATTTTGGTTAACAAAAAGCAAATGTATAACTTAATTTGCAAGTAAGAAAGAAAAAAAATATATAAAGCATAATTCAAATAAATACAATTGTATACTGAATGATGCAATTTCCTTTTCTTCAGTGATATATTGAATAAATTATTTCAGAAATTATAGATCCAGATTTATTGGGAAGTTTATTTTTATGTTATTATTTAAATAAAAAAAACCAAATACTTAACTCATAACACAATTTTCAAAAAATATCTATTTGTGATAATTTGTAAATGGTTAAATTATATTTTCAATAATCACTTCTTCAAAATTATTATTATTTTCTAAATTAGTAATCAAATTAATATCCATTTATAAATGAATAAATATTAATATCAAGAACTGGGTTAACATATAATATATTGATTTTTATGTTAGAATTATTAGCATTTATGTAAATTAAATTAATTCTATATAAGCATTTTTAAGTTTTGAATGATTAGTGTTTATTAAAAGCAAACAAAATTAAATAAGCATGAGCTAAATAAAATGGATGAAAAAAGTTAAAAAAATTAAATACAATAAAATTATATACATGTAAAATATAATCCTTAATTTTAGATTGACTTCTTAATCTAATTCTCACAAACTGTGATCAGCTAGCTTTACTTCAAGAAGTCTTACTTCTAAAAGATTATCTTGTATAAAACAGGACTTCTTGAATTTAGCTGATTGCATTTTGTAAATATTAAATAAGATATGTAATATGCCAAAAGTCAGAATAAATAGTTTTAAATTGAAAAAATAATATATTCATTTATACTGAAACATTATTAAAAACTTTTAAACTTTTAATAAACTTACAAAAACTTTAATCCCCAAATTATCATCTTTAAATATTGAATACGTTAGATAATCTATAGGCCATTAACTTAGAAAATATACAAATGAAACAATTTCAAAAATATTTGTTGATTATTATATCTAAAAAAAACTAAGCTTTATTAGTCACTTTTTGACAATATTTACCAGAATTAATCGATCCTTTAAACTTCTACTATATCCATTATTATAGATAATAGAAAGATCCATAAAAAATTCACAAAACTTGACATGTTCATAAACAAATAAATCAGACAACTTTTCATCGCAAATAGCTAACAATTTTAATAAAAAATATGTTTTCTTCTTAAAGCAAAATATATATGATACAGCAGTAAAAATTTATTAATCCAACATTTACAGGACCAGAATGATGTTGAATTATCAAAAATGTCAAATTATCACATATTTTTGCAAAATTTGATATGGTATATACAGTCTTAATATTGAGACTTTGCTGCTGAGACAAGTGCATACTGCTGTATGCTTCTGATTTGCTTATACATGCTCTTTAATTAATCTAAAGATGATACTGTACAATGCATGACTATTGTGTTAAGAATAATTGAAAAACTTTCAAAAACATTAATGAACATGTTATTGTACAAAATCTACATTAATTCATGTATATATGTTATCAATATATGTATTCTACTGTATGTTAAAATGAAAAACAAAAACCTTTTTAATCCAGAATTATTTTTAAACACAATACTGTAAGTTATATTATACTGTAATATTTATTTTCCAGATGTGTACTGTATAGATATGAGTCACAAAAGCTATACACATGTTCTGAGTTTGAAAAACCTGTTTCTAGGTACACTTTCCTTGCATTAGCCTGTGGAAAAAAATATACATCAGTCACACAATTTATTAAACATACAAACATGTGTTACCTCTAATGAAACAATGTTCATTTGGCACAATATAATGTACAGTAATTATGTATACTTTACTGAATTACACTGCACAGAAGTTTTGAAGTTCTCCTATATGTAAGATGGTATTGCATAAGCTGCTGGAATTAGGTTGTTGATGCCTTTCTGCCACCAACTTGTTTGCCAATTGTGTTGTAAACATATATTAGGACCTGGAAATACTAATGAAAGCATCTAATCCAACATAAATAAGATGCTGTAACAAAATGAATATAATCATTTCTCTCAATCCCATGATCAACTTCTCAATATGTAGCAATTTTATGGCTGTGCTCGCCACCTTTGCCTTGATTTCTTTCCATGTTCTTTAGCACACTATTTGTCCAAACAAATTCTGATTTTCAGATTCAGGTGTCAGATTATATATAGGAAAAGTTCATTAATCTTGTGCAGAGCAAAGTTGAATACAGTCAGAACTTTGGCAAAAACATGTTTATTTTATTGCTTTTATTATAACTACAAGTGTTGACTACTTGAAATAAATAGTTATCTGATTTATTTATTTATTTATTTAAAGAGTTTTTCATTTATTGTTCCAATATATAGAAATGACTTAAATTTTTGCACTTATATTTAGCTGATTTTATATTATACAAATGTAACTAAAGTTCATTTTCAGCTTTACTTAATAAAAAAAAATTAAAAAAAGTATTGAACTTTGTAACATTTTTTCAAAAAATTGTATTATGATATAAAAATAACATTGCATGTATATTTTACAACTAAAGTAATTTTCATTTTCAGAAATTATTTCAGATATTTGGAAATTATAAGTTTACAATTTATAAATATAATAACTTTAAGTGGCTTAATTGCTAAGATAATATGGAAAGTATTAAACATGATCTAATAATAATTTAGAGAGAATTAGACCAATGGAATTTCAATATCTCAAGTTCATGTATTAACAAATACTTTATAAAAAGTTAGTCTATTGAAAAAAAAAAAAATGTTCTTAGAATTCATTTATTAAGTTTCATATAGAAATATTTAATAATCATTATTAACAAGTAGAGATTTTTATATTCTAAAATAATTATTGTTTCCTTACAAACTTACAATATTTCTCATCACTATTCAATATCGTTGATATTTCCTGTTCCTACTTCTTATTAAAGTTATCCCAAGAACAATATTTTTACATAAGAATACTATCATCTAACAAGTTAGAAATTTAACAATATTTAAAACTTTAATAAGTAAGACAGCTACATATTCAAGATTGCAAGAAAACTGCATTATAAAATTTAACAAAAATTGGTGGATGAAAAGATCATGAGCAAAGAATAATCATAATCATTTCAGACAAAAATTTGTAGATAACAAATATTAACTATCATGAGACCATCACACTAAAGACAATCATAACTGTAAGTTGACTTTTATTATGCAAATTAGAATGGATAAAATAATGTGAATGATATTAGTAGAAGTAAAATTTTTATAATTCCTTTTATATAAAAAGTTAATTGCATATTTTATATTAGTAAAACAACCATAAGAAAAAATTTTTTTATAATGCTGATAAAAGATTTTGACAGCTATATGATATTTGCCTTAGATTTACATATAATGTAATTTTATGAAAGATAATAGTTATTTATTCATTTTTAAAATAACATCCTAATATTGGGTTGTTCGGAACATTCGTAGCGATTTTTGATAGCCAACAGTTGAGACACTGATTGATGCGAAAATGATTAGAATTATAGAAACCAATAAATATTATGATATTCTTTTCATTTGTCAATTTGTTCATATGATACAGCAGTAAAAATTTATTAATCCAATCAGCCTATGAGTTTTAACATAGATGAGTATGATAGATAGCCTATGAGTTTTAACAGTTGAAACTCATAGATAGCTATGAGTTTCAACTATCTATAGTTGAAACTCATAGAAATCCATCCATTACAAAAAAAAACCCATTAAGATTATTCAAATATTGTTTAATTTGTCTCATTTCAAAAAATGGATGTGAACAACATGCATTATTGACACTTGTTTCTTTTTTTTTTTTATTGTAAAGGCAAAAATGCTGTACAAACAGCAAAAAATATGTGATGTTTATTTTGGAAGTGCTGTAGCAGAATCAACTGTTCGAAAGTGGTTTGCAAAATTTAAAAAGGGTAATTTCAGCCTTGAAGATGCCCCCACTAAGGAAGACCTCCAGTTATTGAAGAGAACCAGATCAAAGCATTATTGGATAAAAACCCTCATTGCACAACTTGAGAGATCGCAGACATAATGAAGTCATCAAACAGTACTGTATTTCAACATTTAAAGAAGCTCGAATACGTGAATTGTTACAACATTTGGAAACCTCATGACTTAACAGAAAAGAACTTACTGAATCGCATCTCCATTTGTGATTCTCTTGAAAGACCAAATGAAAATGACCCTTTTCTAAAGCATTTAGTGACAGATGATGAAAAGTGGATAATTTATAACAACATCTGAAAACAATCATGGGGTAAGAAAAACAAACCACCATGAAAAACTCCAAAGGCCAGTCTTCATCCAAAGAAGGTCATGCTCACCATCTGGTGGGATTAGAAAGGAATCCTGTACTACGATCTGCTTCCACAAAATCAAACAATTGATTCTGACAAGTATTGTTCCCAATTGGATACACTGAACATGGTAATTAAAGAAAAATGTACGAAAATGGCCAATAGAAAAGGCAATGTGTTTCACCAATATAATGCCAGACTGCACACGTCTTTACAAACATGCCAAAAATTATTGGAGCCAGGCAGGGATGTTTTACCCCACCTCCCCATACTCACCTGACCTTGCCCCGTTGGACTACCATTTGTTCCATTCTCTGCAAAATTCCCTTCATGATAAAAACTCTTTGATCTTTGGAAGCTTGCAAAAACCATGTGGATCAGTTTTTTGCAGGAAAAACTGGAAACTTCTATAAAGAGGGTATATGAAGTTCCCCTGTAGATGGCAACACGTCATTAAAACAATGGCACATACATAATGGAATAAAAGTATATTTTTTGTTTTAAAACAGTTTCTTTTATTTCTCTTAAAAATCGCTATGAACTTTCCATACAAACCAATAAAATTTAGGAAAATTATTATGCTTTTTTAAATAAAATTATTGTTATCATGAATATGGTTTTAAATATCAATTATTAAATCATTTATAATAGTTTATATTTTTATTTTTATGCATCTACATAAAAATTTTAACTGAAGTTTTATTTAACTAACTTTTTAATTTTAAAATACAATAATTACTCCAAGAAAATAAATTATAATTAATAAAATTAATATATTCAACTGTAGAATATCGCTAGATGGTAATTAAGTTTAAAATTAAAATTGATGTAGGCTTTAATTATATAGTTATTTTTTTATATTTTTTTTTCAGATCTTTGGATGAAGAACTTTTTGGATGTTAATTATATTGTACATTTTGATAAACAAATTTATGGCAAATGTTAATTTCTATTACTTTATTTGTGGATAATACGATGAAAAAAAAAAAAAAGCAGAGTTAAATAATGACTATACTAAGCAGATGTGAAAATAAGGATAGTAGAGGAAGAAATAATCTTCACTGCTTAAAAAGTATTTATCATTAAAATATTTCATTTTTACTGGTTCTTGGTGTCTTTGTGGGTTTATTTATTAAAAAGAGTTGTTATAAGGAAAAGCTACTTCTAAGATTTTGGATATGTTAAAACTCATAGGCTGATTGGGATTAATAACTATGCACATGTAATTACAAAGTTATAAGTAATTAATATTAAAAAAATAAAATTTTTTTCTACATTTCCATATAATCTAATCAATGCAATTAAGTCATATCATTTTAAAGCAATTTTGTTATAAATCTTTCAGCTGTACTCAAGCATTTCATTGAAACAAATGAAAACAATGAAATATGAAAAAATCAAAAAGAATAAATGTGATTTGGTTTATGTTTTAATAAACATTCAGTTGTCAGTGTAAGAGATTCGTAATAGTTTTTTTGTACACAAAATATTCAATATGTAGACATTAATATTGAAGTAAAATATTAAAAGGAAGAGTACTAAAAATTAGAAATAATTTTATTTTTAAATGCTTACAATGTTCAATTATCTCTTATTCAAAATCCTTACACACTTATAGATGCATACCTTTTGTGTGAAGATCTTTCTCACAAACTGATCCTGATTCACTACTAGTTTCTGCTGCTGATTCAGCCTCCTATAATATTTTGAATAAATTTTCACTTAATTTATAACTGACAATTGTATAAAATAAAATTTCTGCATTTTCATGCACATAGCTTACAGAAAATTGATAAAACAAAAATAAAACCTTCATTTAACCTACTTCACAATATATTCCATGTCTATGGTAGCAGTCATTGCTCCATAGTCATGAATTTGTAATTGCAATTTAAAATTGGCATACTATCACATAATTTAAAAGGAAGTGCGGGTTATATTTTAAAAACAGGGTGATATACACAAAAATATTGTACTATTAAATAAAAAATATAAATTTATTTTTGTGACTGTTTATTTCTGTGATCAAAATTCAGCAATAAATTGTTAGAAACACAACATGAAAATTTCTATTTTCCATTTATATTTTGGATGAAATAATGAAAGCATAAATCTTAAGCAGAACTAATCTTTTATATGAATAAGGTAATCTTATTCTAAAATGTAAAAAAATTGACATTGCATCAGATGCTTCAACATGATATCAAATAAGTCATGTGATCAATTCTAGTAAACAATCATTTGTTTCCTAGGTTTCTGACATCAATAATAGATGTTACAAACAATTAATGAACATTTCACTTGTTGTTTATAAAATAATGACTGCTAGTGATACTGAACAATTAATTACAGCTTTATGTGTAGCTTTGTTTGTTTTTAAACTGTCATTTTTTAACTCAGATAATTATCAAAAACCATCAGCACTCTTTCATAACTGATCAGCAAGACTGAGGTACTTGCATGAGATATATATTTACTGTTCACTGACAGGCATGTTTCCAGACTAAACAATAAATTGTCAATTAGACTACTCTTTTCCATAAATTGGATATTAGAACTTTTATGCTATAACTTGTATGTGATTCATCTTTGGCTTACAATTCATGCAATAAATATTAGCTACTTTTGAATATAATTATGAAACAGTCCAAAAGCTGGACTTTTTCAAACAGCTTAAAAAATCAGGGCAGTATTAAAACTGAGACATTGTATCAAAAAGCAGGAATATCCTCTCTTATTTGGAACATCTGGCCACTTTACATATGACATACACCTCCATATTTATGAAAGTATATGTAATATATAGAAAGATTAGCTGTAACCAAGTATTGTGCTTCCAACATATATTCTATAATCCTTCTAAAACACTGACTTTTTATTATTATTTAGTTTCATTTTTCTTTCATTATATTTTAGAGATGAAAAAGACAACTTTCATTTGTATCAGAATTAGGCATTTGATATTACTATTATTATTCATGTAATAATTTATACTGACTCATGGTAATTTCACTTCAAATTTCCTTACAAAGAAAGAGAAAAAACTATTATCAATCAAGTAATTTGTCCACAAAAAAAAAAAAAATCAAAGTGCTAAAACATAAGATATTTAAATAGCAAACAAATGGAATAGTTTATCCTTATACAATGTTAATTACAATTGTTTTTTCAAGAAAACCATTAGTTAATGTTTGACACGTATCTTATCCTATCGACTAAGAGAAGTATATAAGAGAGTGTTTATAGCCAAATTTTACTAGAAATATTTGGCACAGAAACATAAAAATGAAGAATTTCAGTTACATTTAGATCATTTTTTTGCTCTGTAGCAAAATCTTTTTTTTCAACTTAAGATACCTTTTCAAAGATTGCGTCATGTATATGTATATACATGATAATATAATGTATATATTTATTATATACATAAACAATAAAAATTATGTGTTTATATACATTATATATATTATGCATAAATAAAACATTTATTTAAATTACCTTCATTAAATCTTGTTCATCATAAGATATTTCAAGAGATGTTTCTCTTCTTAAAGAAGCATCTCTAGAAGGTCCAAGTTCTTCCTTAAATGCATCAAAACCTATAATTTAAATTTAAAATTAAATAATTTAAAATTTTCATATTTTAATTAAATTATTATCATCTCCTAAAGTATACATTGTAATTTTATTTCTATCATCATCATCTGAAGACTCCTAATTTCTTAGGATTCATGTTTCAAAAGGTGCACATCATTCATTATTTCCTTTAACTCCTCTAATTTTTCTCTAGTTAAAAATTGAAGCCATTTTACATTAGACAGTAATCCAGATAACATAATTAGTAATACATTGGTGTATGAACTTTACTTGTAAAAGCCAGATAATCTGCCAAATTATCAGGAAATGATTAGGCTATGTTAATAATTAGATATGCATTAATTTGTCTAGAGACAGGCAGTTAAGCTACCATCTCATGATAATTTTAATAATTATAATAAATTAATTTTTAAAAAACATCTCTCTGTAAGCTGAAAGAAATTTAGTTTAAACAACGCCTTAAATACTTTTTTCAGCATGACTTTAATTTATTTAAACAAATATTTTCAACTTCTTTTCATAAGTCAAAAATGCTTGTTTAAATAAATTAAAGTTATACTGACAAAAGCATTTAAGGTGTCACTTAAATTAATTTTTAATTTAGAATTTCTGGAGAAAAGAATTGGCCTGGAGTGGGATTCAAATCCACAACTTCTGCATACCACACGGATGTGTTACCAGTTATGCTACCCAAACCTCCATCTGATCTTTGCTTCAAGAACTATTAATTTAAATATAGCCATACAGGTCACTCACGGCATTGACTGAAGATGACTAAGTGCTCATAGCCCTTCTCTATGGCATTCAGTCAGCAATATATTTGGGGCAATTGTCTTATTTTCCAACAAGACAATGGTCTCAAACATATGGCAAAGATTGTTATAGATCATTTGCAATGTAATGACTTTACTAACTTAGATTGGTGTCCCAAATCACAGATACCAATCCAATTGAAAATTAATGGAGTGATGTAAAAAAACAGATGGCAAAGAGGAGGCCAAAAAAGGCAGAAATGAAGGAAATCTTACAAAAAGTTTGGGAAACAACCAACCCAAATCTTTGTGAAAAGCTAAAAAACAAAATCATACAATCAATTTTTTTGTAAAATTTTTATCATTGTTTTACATTTTACTCCCCCCCTTACATTTGCTTCTAATTATAGCTATAATTTTTAGGGAATGAAGTAAAGAATGTTTTTTCTCTATTGTGGCTATAATTTTCTTGGTGACCATATTTTTAAAAATGACTTGGAAAAATGAAACTTTTCTGTCACATGAATAATCTTTTTACTCACTGTATATGCATACATCCTCACTGCAATTTAAAATAAGAATAGCTAATTAATAAATTGACTTCCTGCTTTATTACTAATGATACCAACATTTTAATGATAACCTAATGATATAATATTTAAGTATGTTTATTGTTAGTTCTATGTGAATCACTTTATATCGGTAGAGCATCACACAGAAAAGTAATATAACTGAAAAAAATGCAATTTTTCAAGAAAGCAATAAAGAAAAAATAAATGGCATTAATTCTACTGTAATCAGACATCATCAGTTAATTAATTAAGAAACAATTTTAACTGTAAATGTATTTAAGAAACATTATTTCTGAGAATTTAAATAAAACTCATGGCAATCCCACCATGCTATTAATTCAAAATTGCCAAATTTTGAGTGTGTCACTTTTCTATGTGATTTGCAATGTGTTTTTATGGCAATTACATTTAAATTCAAATTTTTAAAAAATAATTCATTAAATTTTAATGAATAAGTAAAGACATTTAAATTTGAATATGGTTATAGTAGAAATGCATGTTCCAATAAAAAATAAAATCATGCCATTTGAATTATTATCATTTTCAATTGGTAAAATAAGTAATTTTGTTACAAAACCTTAACAGAGAGCAAAAAAAAATTTATTTTTCTTCTTAATTAATAAATCTTAACATTTTATTGTATTTTGATGTATACTTTAGTTAATTTTAAGCTGAGCCAGAATATCAGAAATAATTAATTTTATTGAATATAAGTAACTTGAAATGCAAAAAAATTTTTTTAAATGATATCTTAAATAGACCATTAACAAAATTCACTCAATAATATTATCTATGATGAATTATGTTTCCATGAGTTAGGCATACTAATTTTGCCAAATTATACATGCCAAATTCAAAGATTGACAAAACTGAATAAGTTAGAATCATATTAATACAATAGTAGGAACTTAAAAGTTTATACTTCAGATTGGGACAACAGAGCAAATCATTAAGAGACAACAGTCTTTAAAAAAATGTTATGATAACAGAAATTTTATAGTTCAATAAAGCTTTCATAGTTTTAAGTAAAAATAAATGTTTTTATTTCTTCTCCTGTCATTTTTGATTTGTTACAGCTTGTACATTTAATAATATTATATGACAAGTTGATACATTAGATACTAAAGGTATTGCATAAAGTGCTAAAACTGGATGTATAAGTAGGTTTTCTGGTGAAGTTTTAGTGAAATTTGGGGAAATTCATTGGAAAACATTTCCTGATATTCCTGAAAATGATTTTCTGTTCAAATCATTTTCAGCAATGTGTTAAATTCAATATTCAAATAATGCAGTATGACTATATTTTAATGAAGTAATAAGAAAAAAATATCTTCAAATAGCCCAATTTATTATATTTATAATGAAAATACAAAATTTAATAGTGGCATAAAATAAAAAAAGTAAAAAAAACTAATTTTATTGCAATAAAAAGCATGATATATTAAAAAAAGTTTCTTAAAGAAAAACCATAGTGTAAATTAGAGGCTCTGTTAGAAATGTTTAATACTGTATTATAAAACATTGAATATAATAAAACTTAACTCAATTAACTAATATGTAGATAAGAAATAAATTCAATACCTGATTGATCAAGATGTACTTTAGCTACAGCTTTCTCAACATCATCTGTAACTAGTTCAACATTAAACATGCAATTGCTAATTATATCTTCTCTATTAATCTTTATTTTAATTAAATTATTATCATCTCCTAAAGTATACATTGTAATTTTATTTCTATCATCATCATCTGAAGACTCCTAATTTCTTAGGATTCATGTTTCAAAAGGTGCACATCATTCATTATTTCCTTTAACTCCTCTAATTTTTCTCTAGTTAAAAATTGAAGCCATTTTACATTAGACAGTAATCCAGATAACATAATTAGTAATACATTGGTGTATGAACTTTACTTGTAAAAGCCAGATAATCTGCCAAATTATCAGGAAATGATTAGGCTATGTTAATAATTAGATATGCATTAATTTGTCTAGAGACAGGCAGTTAAGCTACCATCTCATGATAATTTTAATAATTATAATAAATTAATTTTTAAAAAACATCTCTCTGTAAGCTGAAAGAAATTTAGTTTAAACAACGCCTTAAATACTTTTTTCAGCATGACTTTAATTTATTTAAACAAATATTTTCAACTTCTTTTCATAAGTCAAAAATGCTTGTTTAAATAAATTAAAGTTATACTGACAAAAGCATTTAAGGTGTCACTTAAATTAATTTTTAATTTAGAATTTCTGGAGAAAAGAATTGGCCTGGAGTGGGATTCAAATCCACAACTTCTGCATACCACACGGATGTGTTACCAGTTATGCTACCCAAACCTCCATCTGATCTTTGCTTCAAGAACTATTAATTTAAATATAGCCATACAGGTCACTCACGGCATTGACTGAAGATGACTAAGTGCTCATAGCCCTTCTCTATGGCATTCAGTCAGCAATATATTTGGGGCAATTGTCTTATTTTCCAACAAGACAATGGTCTCAAACATATGGCAAAGATTGTTATAGATCATTTGCAATGTAATGACTTTACTAACTTAGATTGGTGTCCCAAATCACAGATACCAATCCAATTGAAAATTAATGGAGTGATGTAAAAAAACAGATGGCAAAGAGGAGGCCAAAAAAGGCAGAAATGAAGGAAATCTTACAAAAAGTTTGGGAAACAACCAACCCAAATCTTTGTGAAAAGCTAAAAAACAAAATCATACAATCAATTTTTTTGTAAAATTTTTATCATTGTTTTACATTTTACTCCCCCCCTTACATTTGCTTCTAATTATAGCTATAATTTTTAGGGAATGAAGTAAAGAATGTTTTTTCTCTATTGTGGCTATAATTTTCTTGGTGACCATATTTTTAAAAATGACTTGGAAAAATGAAACTTTTCTGTCACATGAATAATCTTTTTACTCACTGTATATGCATACATCCTCACTGCAATTTAAAATAAGAATAGCTAATTAATAAATTGACTTCCTGCTTTATTACTAATGATACCAACATTTTAATGATAACCTAATGATATAATATTTAAGTATGTTTATTGTTAGTTCTATGTGAATCACTTTATATCGGTAGAGCATCACACAGAAAAGTAATATAACTGAAAAAAATGCAATTTTTCAAGAAAGCAATAAAGAAAAAATAAATGGCATTAATTCTACTGTAATCAGACATCATCAGTTAATTAATTAAGAAACAATTTTAACTGTAAATGTATTTAAGAAACATTATTTCTGAGAATTTAAATAAAACTCATGGCAATCCCACCATGCTATTAATTCAAAATTGCCAAATTTTGAGTGTGTCACTTTTCTATGTGATTTGCAATGTGTTTTTATGGCAATTACATTTAAATTCAAATTTTTAAAAAATAATTCATTAAATTTTAATGAATAAGTAAAGACATTTAAATTTGAATATGGTTATAGTAGAAATGCATGTTCCAATAAAAAATAAAATCATGCCATTTGAATTATTATCATTTTCAATTGGTAAAATAAGTAATTTTGTTACAAAACCTTAACAGAGAGCAAAAAAAAATTTATTTTTCTTCTTAATTAATAAATCTTAACATTTTATTGTATTTTGATGTATACTTTAGTTAATTTTAAGCTGAGCCAGAATATCAGAAATAATTAATTTTATTGAATATAAGTAACTTGAAATGCAAAAAAATTTTTTTAAATGATATCTTAAATAGACCATTAACAAAATTCACTCAATAATATTATCTATGATGAATTATGTTTCCATGAGTTAGGCATACTAATTTTGCCAAATTATACATGCCAAATTCAAAGATTGACAAAACTGAATAAGTTAGAATCATATTAATACAATAGTAGGAACTTAAAAGTTTATACTTCAGATTGGGACAACAGAGCAAATCATTAAGAGACAACAGTCTTTAAAAAAATGTTATGATAACAGAAATTTTATAGTTCAATAAAGCTTTCATAGTTTTAAGTAAAAATAAATGTTTTTATTTCTTCTCCTGTCATTTTTGATTTGTTACAGCTTGTACATTTAATAATATTATATGACAAGTTGATACATTAGATACTAAAGGTATTGCATAAAGTGCTAAAACTGGATGTATAAGTAGGTTTTCTGGTGAAGTTTTAGTGAAATTTGGGGAAATTCATTGGAAAACATTTCCTGATATTCCTGAAAATGATTTTCTGTTCAAATCATTTTCAGCAATGTGTTAAATTCAATATTCAAATAATGCAGTATGACTATATTTTAATGAAGTAATAAGAAAAAAATATCTTCAAATAGCCCAATTTATTATATTTATAATGAAAATACAAAATTTAATAGTGGCATAAAATAAAAAAAGTAAAAAAAACTAATTTTATTGCAATAAAAAGCATGATATATTAAAAAAAGTTTCTTAAAGAAAAACCATAGTGTAAATTAGAGGCTCTGTTAGAAATGTTTAATACTGTATTATAAAACATTGAATATAATAAAACTTAACTCAATTAACTAATATGTAGATAAGAAATAAATTCAATACCTGATTGATCAAGATGTACTTTAGCTACAGCTTTCTCAACATCATCTGTAACTAGTTCAACATTAAACATGCAATTGCTAATTATATCTTCTCTATTAATCTTTCTAAGAGCCTTCTCAAGAGTATTGCCTGTTTAAGAACATTTTCATTAAATTCAATAATAAAAAATTTTTTACATTATTCACATTTAATAGTTATATCATTAAATTATTAATTTTAATTAAAATAATTTACTACAATAGCATACTCAGATTTTCACATTACATTTATAACTATTAGATATTTAATAAAAAGTAACTGTTATTTTAGGAAATAGTTAAGGATTGAACAGAATAAGCAAAATCTAAGTAATAAGTAGTTTATAACATAACAATTACAATACATATTTTATAAAAAATATTATAATTTTAAACCTTTAATCTTAAATCCATCCTTAAGTCAAACTAAAATGTCAGTCATGGTGGATAATATAACATATAACATATTTTTCTACTCCTAAAGTCAAACAAAATTTCACATATCTTAATATTGTAAAGTTTGACTATTTTCATTCCTTAAGTGAAAATAGTCAAACTTAGGTGCTGATCAATCTATTAAGTTCTGCAAATCCTTTCAGCACTTTCCATGGTAAAGCAACCTTAGTACAATTGAATAAGCAAGCCAATGACATAGCCAATTTCATAAGAAATGGACTAAGTCATTGGTTTACTTATCCAGCTGCATTAAAGCCTGTTTACCATGCAATGTGCCCTTTGTTCTTAATTAAGCAGGGTTGTCAGTTAGCAAAAAACCCACCTAGTGGGAATATTGAAATCTGATATAATGTATTGTGAAAAAATTTTAATTTTGAATAAATTCAGTGTAGCATAAAGTGGTAATTTTGTGATGTGCCTAAATTCATGATATTTATTTAAGTCACTATTATAACCATATTGTTCTAATATTAATCCAAATGAATATCATGGACTTAAATACAGTGAAAACTGCTTAGGCGACCACCTGCATTTGATGGGCACCTGTCAAAACTGGCAAAAATTCCTGGCACCAAATAGTTTATACATAGAATCTTTGTATAAGTTACCTGTATTAAATGACCACCTGTGTAACGCGACTGCGGACATCAATTTTTGGTCCAAAACAACATATGACAACTGTAATAAGTGACCACTGTGAATATATCTGGTCTAAACTATTGTTTGAACCCATCTCAACAATGTTTCCCACTCCTAATATAATGAATTAGTTTAAACTCTCGTTCGAACCCATTCCGGGCACTTCTCCCACCCTTGAAATTAGGTGCAGGTGTTAATAAATTAGTCTAGCAACAAAGAAAATTCATTTCAGTTTGTTGGAAAATGTCCGAAAAATGAAAGGCATGCAAAGTGCTGACGTTAGAGGATCGTGTTAAAATTATCAGAGAAAGTGAAAATGGTTTATAACAATGGCAATTAGCAGCGAAGTTTAACTGTGGAAAAAGAAATTTATTTTACCGAAGACCTACAGTATTTTCCTTAGAGGTATAAAATATTGTACATGATACAATTAATCAGCTGATCTCATCGTTTGATAAAATTTATTTTATTTATTTATTTATTTATTATTATTATTATTTGAAGCTTATATACAGTACATGTGCAATAAATAATTTCTGTATCAACCTACCTTATTTCCACGATATTTTTAGAAAAATAATATTCAAGTAATTTTTGCATGCAAAATATTCAAAAAACAATAAACACATTAATGCAAAAATCAGTTTTACAGGCAACCTTCCTTTCTCGATTCTGTGATTGTCATTGGACAATCACGGAATGTAATGAAATCGTATTATGAGAAAAAATAATAAAATTGTTTTATTATTAATTAATAATTTTTCTTATTGTACCTAAGAAAATACTAAATATTAAAAAAATACAGTATTTTTAAAGTTAAAATAAGATTAAACTAACGAAAACCAAAATCAAAGTGATGGAGAGATAGGACGTGCTTGTATATCGACATAATACACGTAACTGAGGAGCAAACGAAAAGAACCAAGTCGAATTAATTAAGTCAGAAAAAAAAAGTGTGCATTATAATCGAGAAAATGTGAGCATTGTATTAATCTTTAAAATATGGTATTAAATCTGTCTTATAATATCACCATGACTCCTGTAAATTGGGTTATCCAATAAGAATAAAATACAGTAGAGCGTCGATTATCCAAATCAATTGGGGACTGGGGTTGTTCGAAAGATCGATGTTTCGGATAACCGATTATGTACAAAAAAATATATTAACCTATTCCATGTTGAAATTTTTCTCCATTGTGTGTCGCTTCGCGTTGAATTTTCGTCAATGTTAAGCCTAATGAAGACTATTATATCATTAAAAATTATTTTTTTATTTTGTACAAACAAAATAAATATATTGAAAAATATAAAAACAATAAAAAATTATACTTCAGAAGTTAATTTAGTATCAAAAACATAAAATATTTGAGTAGCCCAAGACATAGCCAAAGATTGCAGCGCCACAGCACTGGCGAAAATTTAAATTTGCCAACTGGAATTCTTTCGGATAATTGACACTCTACTGTACAATACCAATATAGCTCTATCATTGAAAAAAATTCGCTTATTTTTGCTCATCTCGAGTTTTATTTTTTAGTAGAAATAGCTAAAAAGTGCACAAAATATGTATGGAAATATGTTATTATAGGACCACCTGTATTGGATGACCACCTGTCTAAAAGACCACTTTTTGAAGAAACCATGGGTGATCACCATACACAGGTTTTACTGTATTATATTATTTTTAATTTTATCACGATATTTTCTCTAAGACTGATTGCATACAAATGAATTTTCTTTCCATCAATTGAATAAGCTTTCATCACAAATCCCCATAACTTTTAAACAGAAATCATTTCCTATTGGCTATTGTTTGATGACAACTATCCTAAAACATGATTTCAACATCCATAAATGGGTCTGTTGCTAGACAATGTCTATATGAATTTTTTTTGCTGGACAAAAATGTATAGTGAAAACTAGTGTTTATGATACTATGGTATTAAAAAAGTTTCACTTAATTGCTCATGAGCATTTAAGTGAGTAATGAGCAATTAAGTAAAGATTTACAGTATGTAATATCTATATATTTGATTAACCAAGTTATATCATTTGATTGTTAATTTTAAAAATTCTAATAGATATCATACTTTACTATTTTAAATAAATTATTTAATTTTATATCTTAAACCATAAACAATAAAATTATTATGATCTTTTCTATATTATAAATAGCATTTGCTTTTAGATTAACTTTAATGAAATGTTTCTACTTATTAGGTGCATTTATAAATGTTATATACAAAATATTAAAAAGGGATAGTTTAAAAATAGAGGTTCATACCATTTGCTTTATTTCCTGCTTTCTGCATCCATAACCTCAGCATTACAATTGCTTGTTGGTTAACATCAGAGTGTTCAGATTTTATTGTGTTAATATCAGATTCAGGAACATCTAATTGTAATGCTAATGGTACCCAGTCATCCTTTAACTGTTTAGCTATATCTGATAACCTAAGATCAGCTCTATGTATTAATTCCGGTTTTGCTATTAAAAAATAATAATGTAATTATTTTAGATATAACTGATAATTTAATATTACTTAATTATTTTTACAATTATATTTATAGAAATATTTTTAAAAAATTATCTCTTTGAATAAACAATTTAAAATAACTTTAATGTTTTTTTACATATAATACTGCATATCACATGAAAATTAATTAGTTATTTGAGTTTATTCATTTATTTTGATTATTTGTAATATTTTTCCTAGAGTAATCTGCTATGTAATCAATTATATCAGAATTTATATTCTATAATTTCTGATTTTAATATTCAAGATAGTTTAATCTTTTAAACAATCTTGAACATTACATTTTTATTGTTTCTAATTCTATTGTTTCTTATTCTTTCATTTTTATTGTTTCTAATAATCTATTGTTTCTTTATTAATAAACAAACAAAACAGAAAAAAAATATATATATATTATTAAAATATAAACAAAAAAAAAAAAACTATGCAAGTCTTTAAACTTGCAAATTTTTATTTATTTTTTCTTTTTTTTACTGTAGATCAGGCTTTCTTACAATGTACAGTATAATACCTAAATGTGCTTAACCATATAATTTTAAGGTATGGAAGCCTCACATTAACTTATCAATCAATATAAGTAACCATAGTTTGTCTACTTACTTTTCGATTTTTACATGAATTTTTAATTTTTATATTGGATTTTTAAGCAATATTGTTTATGAATAATTCTTGAAAATAAAAATTACAATTAAATCATATAAAATAATATTCCTTATAGATGTTTTAATGTTTCTAAAAATGTTTAAAACAGACAATATTTATACTTAATTATTAGCTTGTTAAACAATAAAAAATTATTGTTTTAAAAAACTGCCACATAAAACTATCTTTTCATGAAAGAATAAACTATTCTAGAAATGTGTCATATTTATCCTAATAAATTTGAAAAAAATCATACATGCAACTCAAACATGCTAAAAGAAATTCATCAGTCATAATTGCAAAATTCAGTGAGTCGTTCATTTAATAATTATAGTCATTTATAGTTCAGTTTAACGAATTCTGGTAAAATTTTTTGTTTGCTTTATTGTACGAAATTAATATTGTAACAATGGCACTTTGTCAGGGCAACAGCAAAATTTGCTTTATCAATGTTTGTTTTAAAGTGAGTCAATTGTATTTGTTTTGAACAAATTTATTTTCAATCAGGCTTGTATGGGACAAGGAGGTAGACTGAGCCCCTTTAGCTTTTTGTTTTTTGAACAAATGACATATATAAAATGTTTCCTTATTAATAAAAAAGCAGTCAAAGATTTTGTTTTCTGTTAGTAAAAATAACATTAATTTTATAGAATTTTATGGCCTAAAGTTTTCCCTAGGTCAAAGGAAAAATCCACAGCTCCTCCTCTTGACAGCTGTTTTCAACATTAAATTTATTTGTAACACTATATTTTGTAAAAAGTGCAAATTCTTAATTTACTAACTGCAAATAAAAGTATTGTTTTGAAAATTATTTGTATTTCTGATTAAATGCAATGCAACTTTTTTATTTATATTTAGATTACTACTTTATAAATTAGACTAAAAAATTCTCATTAGAAAAATATATAGAAATTATATCAAAATGAAGAAACTAAAAAATGTATGAAATGAAGTCATTTGTATAATAATATCATAACCTAAATAATAAAATAATAACTTTTTAACATTTATTATATTGTTTTGTTTTTATTAAAATATTAAAAAAGATATTTACAATATGAATAAATAAACTTTTCTCTAGGTACACAAACTTGCCAATTTGATTTCTCAAACTTTTAATATAAACTGATTAAAAAATGATTAGATATTTTCCCACCAATCAGATTTTTATCTTAATTAATCTTTCTGACTAATGTTTCATAAACAATTTCATATGTTTAAAAATATGGCATTCTAGTTTGTTCTGATACATTAGTAATATGCTAATCCCAGTAAAAAAGTATGATTGATTAAAAAATGTTTCATTATTAGTTAGTTAATTAGAAACCAAGTCACTAATTCACTAATCCAATATTAAAAGATAAAGAAATGTACGTAAGTACCGTATCCCAGATGCATAACTAGAATCAATGGCACCTAAAAGAAATCAAAAAAACTGTACCAGTAGAAACCAATGTTCTTTAAAATTCCTGATACATTTCCAAAAAAGTATGTTTTATTCTTAAAAGAATGTTGGTACAATGTAATTTTTTGATTTTTTCAGTATTTTTTGTTTTTTAAATTATCAAATGGTGCACAGTTTAAGTTCTCCAATTACTCCATCCTAGAAATCTTATTAATCAAATCCAAAAATTATAAAATCCTTCAGCATAAAGTGACAATAAAAGTCTTAGAAGTGAATTATTGAAGTCTTTTTTATATAGATAAAATTGTAAAAAAAAATTATGAGAAAAATCTACGATGAAAGTTTTCATTAAAAAATTTTACATATTATGACATAATAATGAATAATATTATCATAAAAAATTTTTAAAAATATAACAATACATACATAGCCCACTTTCTTCAATAAAACCATATTTCTTCTCCACCGTGACTAGTTCATTTACCATTGTAGAATCAACCTTATTAAAAAAAATTATATTCATGATATATAACAAATAATTCATTAAAAAATTACTCACACATAACCAATTTATGGTGTGGTAACACTNATTTTATGGCCTAAAGTTTTCCCTAGGTCAAAGGAAAAATCCACAGCTCCTCCTCTTGACAGCTGTTTTCAACATTAAATTTATTTGTAACACTATATTTTGTAAAAAGTGCAAATTCTTAATTTACTAACTGCAAATAAAAGTATTGTTTTGAAAATTATTTGTATTTCTGATTAAATGCAATGCAACTTTTTTATTTTTATTTAGATTACTACTTTATAAATTAGACTAAAAAATTCTCATTAGAAAAATATATAGAAATTATATCAAAATGAAGAAACTAAAAAATGTATGAAATGAAGTCATTTGTATAATAATATCATAACCTAAATAATAAAATAATAACTTTTTAACATTTATTATATTGTTTTGTTTTTATTAAAATATTAAAAAAGATATTTACAATATGAATAAATAAACTTTTCTCTAGGTACACAAACTTGCCAATTTGATTTCTCAAACTTTTAATATAAACTGATTAAAAAATGATTAGATATTTTCCCACCAATCAGATTTTTATCTTAATTAATCTTTCTGACTAATGTTTCATAAACAATTTCATATGTTTAAAAATATGGCATTCTAGTTTGTTCTGATACATTAGTAATATGCTAATCCCAGTAAAAAAGTATGATTGATTAAAAAATGTTTCATTATTAGTTAGTTAATTAGAAACCAAGTCACTAATTCACTAATCCAATATTAAAAGATAAAGAAATGTACGTAAGTACCGTATCCCAGATGCATAACTAGAATCAATGGCACCTAAAAGAAATCAAAAAAACTGTACCAGTAGAAACCAATGTTCTTTAAAATTCCTGATACATTTCCAAAAAAGTATGTTTTATTCTTAAAAGAATGTTGGTACAATGTAATTTTTTGATTTTTTCAGTATTTTTTGTTTTTTAAATTATCAAATGGTGCACAGTTTAAGTTCTCCAATTACTCCATCCTAGAAATCTTATTAATCAAATCCAAAAATTATAAAATCCTTCAGCATAAAGTGACAATAAAAGTCTTAGAAGTGAATTATTGAAGTCTTTTTTATATAGATAAAATTGTAAAAAAAAATTATGAGAAAAATCTACGATGAAAGTTTTCATTAAAAAATTTTACATATTATGACATAATAATGAATAATATTATCATAAAAAATTTTTAAAAATATAACAATACATACATAGCCCACTTTCTTCAATAAAACCATATTTCTTCTCCACCGTGACTAGTTCATTTACCATTGTAGAATCAACCTTATTAAAAAAAATTATATTCATGATATATAACAAATAATTCATTAAAAAATTACTCACACAGAACCAATTTATGGTGTGGTAACATTGAAAAACATCAAAAAAAATTAAACAGATTTCGTTAATTGAATTTCCGATCTAAAAACCATTAGAACTTGATGTAGAGCCCAGAAGGGGTTCAAAAACGTTCGTTTTTTAGATGTTATTACCTCACTGTAAATTGGTTCCGTGTGAGTAATTTTTCAAATAACAATTTTATATCTTTAAAAATTCATACACATAAAAGTAACACAATTTACTTCACTTTTAATAAATATACAAAATACGACATTTTTACAAAGGTAAAAAATCTTGCTTCTGTCAATCTTTCCGCTGTTTCGTTTCTACACCATCAGCGATCCTTAAGACAATTCACAAAAGTTTTCGAAGACGACCTTCCTTTTAAGGCTACTGCCTCCACAGAAATATGCCTCNATAATCTTATTAATATTATTATAAAATAAAATTTGATATTATAAGAAATAATTTATAAATCAAATAAACAAACTATTAAAAAAAATGTAGGATATAAATAAGTTTGAAAAAATTAATCAATTAAAAAGTTAAAATTGAAATTGATTTTAAACTATAAATTATTATTAATTTCCTTTAAATTAACTTTAAATTAATAGAGATCTTAATTGTCATTAAGTCCAACTCTACTAAAGATATAACACATAACTCTCTTTATTTCTCCACCCTCTTGATTCTTTAATCACCAAAATTTAGTAACGTCAATCCCCCTAATAAACAAACCATGCAAAATTTCAGAAATTCTTGACAAAAAGCATAGAAGTTATTAAGTTTCAAAGAGGATGAACAAAATCCCCCCCACACACACTAACATCTATACATACAGAAAACCCTCAAATTTTTTTGCATTTCTCAATGTTTCAATTTTATGTTAATTGTGCCCTGGGGTATGGTTTGTTTGTTATTTAACCAGCAGTTAGCTTTGAACATTTGGGAGACTAACCGATTCGTGGATAAGAGACTAAACTTATTATTTTTCATTTTCTAGGTAAGATATAGCCTAGTTTTTTGGTAATTATTTAAATTAATTTGTTTGTTTTTGGATAGTTCTCCCACTTTAAAATGAATTTAATTTTTTGTTTTACAGTTGTGTTTTAGTTATAGTCATTGTATATATTTCTTTTGTATTAATGGATACGTTGTATAATCTTGTATGAATATTTTGTATGTTGCTCCATGCATCATGGTTGTACCAGTATGCTTAAATAAATAAATAAATAAATAAATAAATGTTATGCTAACTGACATCAAAATATCTCATAATGTATGTGAACATTGTAAGCAAAGAAAAAAGAATGAAAGAACAAAAAGATGTTATTGTTTGGTTAATGTTATTCTCGTATTTGAAATCTAGAATTCTAAGTAACATTGTTTTAGTACTAAACCTACACTACTACTGAGAATGGATTTATTCCCAAAAAAATTTAAAGCTGAAAATGGATATAGAGTTTATTTTTTTTTCAATAATTTTAATAAATAAAAAGAACAAACAAAAACAGATCTATTACACCATTATTAAAATGACTATAATGCTAAATAATACTGATAAAAAGAATCAAAATAGCAAAGTTTCAAACCAGCAATGTATGTTTATATATTTCATGCATTTCACAAAATATATAATTCCAGCATTTCATGATACTTTTCAATTCTTGCTACATCTGTGCTATAATTTATAATTCTTTACATAAATAATATATGTTATTTGTATGTATTGATTAAATAACTGTAAATAATACTTTTGATACTTAAACATTGTCATAATGCCAAGCTGCAATTTTTAATCATCTTTTAATTTAAAAAAATCATGTGACTTCCAGACCTAAAGTGATACGGTATATAGTTAATCAGGATATGTAGTCCCTAAACTTTCCATATCTGGTCTGGCATTTTAAAAGTGTCTTGCCCCTGTACATCATACTTCTGTTAGCAATTGATTCATGCTGGTTATCTATCTAATTCCATACTTGAGAAAAGTTGAATTGAAATCAAGTAACTTGGGATGCAATTTTTAAATTGCAGCCCAATAAAGAATAATTGATGTTAAGACAAAAGAAAATGTTGTAAATTAAAACAATGCAGGGTAAATTAATAAGTATCTTTAAAAATAGACAAATGGTACTTAAATCAACCACTTGGTATGGTTGAATGATCTGAGTTTTTTCAATGAAATATTGAGGAGGAAGGTTTGATACTGTAAAAATCTGAATATTAACTTAATTTATTCTACAAAATTTATACAAAACCAAGATAATATTTTGTCACAAAAGTGTACATTTGTCTAACTTTTAAGAGAAAGCAAAGAAATTCAACTTCCTTCAAAAGTAGTTATTCATTTGATGACATGTTTAGTAAAACTTAGATCATTGTCAGATGACTAAATATCCAAATCTCCATTGGAGGAGAGTTAGGATATAAAAGAGGGAAATGTGCCAAACTCCACGCACATCATCCAGTATCCTCTTCTATTTGAATTGTGTGCCATACTCCCTGGAATTGGAACTTCCACCCACTGGACAGAATTGTTATAAGACAAGTTAATAAAAAGGTAATATGACGGATATTGTAAACTCTCTCTCAATCTCTCATATTAGGGACATATTTAGTTAATGTTGAATAATAGCTGGATTCATGTCATGTCTTTTGTTTGCTATTAATTTAGCTCATTTGTAATCTTTATTGTTATATATATTAAATTAGTTATTGTTTAATTGTTAATTTGACATGTTTAAATTATTTATCAAACTCCTATCACTTACCCACCATTCATAGAATTATTAGCCCTCCTTTATCCTTAAATTTTAGATCGTGAGTTAAACCGCAATTGAAAATAATAGTTTAACTGGTGTACTAAGTCCTGATGAAGATTGAGATTCTAATGATCTTAATCTAATTTACAAAGCCATCCGACGATATCGAGAGTGGGTTCAGTTGACCCGTGCCAAGTAAGTGGTCAGAAAAGATTTACCCCTGGCCCCAGCTACTCACAATATCATGTAGGACTTAAAATATTTGATGTTTTTTGAGATTTTGGATTTTTCTGGTAATGCACTATATATATATATATGAATTGTAATTAATATTACTTTGTAAAATTATAAAATTTTAATTTATAAATAAGTATTTGATCTTTTAGAACTAACTATTTTTGTAATTTATATAAAAACATTTTACCTTGCATACATCAGGCAAAGCAATATTGAGATTACATATAGGAGATTGTGGTGGTTCTCCTCTTCCAACTCTAGGTTCTCTCATAAATGCTAATCTTCCCATTGGTTCTTGATGTGTATCTTTTACCCTTATTAAAAATGGTAATCGATTTTCTCTAAATGCTTGGAAAGCAAGGAATAGTTGCTCCCCTGATTTTGTTACTGGAATTAAGTTTCCTGCAAATTCTAGATATTGGCATTTACCTTCTAAAACCTAGTCAAAAAGATTTTAAAGTATTAAGATTTTTTAAAAATTCATAACTTATTTATTAATAGTCTGTAAATACATGAAGATGATACATAGAAATAGAATATTCCAAGATATTTTTTACATAAATATTTATTTTGAAGTTTTTACATAAAAAAATATATAATTTTTTTGAGTCTATTTCTTATATCCTTTTCACAGTCCTCAGAAGTAACAGCAAATTGGCTTAAAGATATAGCATAATCTTCGTTAAAACAACGATCATAGAATATTAAAAATATCACACAAAGTTAAAAACTGATCAAAATGACAACCTTTTATTTTAGGCTATGGCATTTTCACAATAAAACAGTGAAAAAAATTTTTTTACAATACTGTATCTACTTTGCTTTATAGCCATAATATTTTAACTGCTTCAAATGCTCTGGTGGACTTTCAGGTAATCACACAAATTTTTGCATAAAAATTGAACAATATTTACATCTTTATGTAAATATTGTTCAATTTTTTATGTAAGTCTTTTAAAACTTCAAAATGAAGTTAATCCTGGGTCAAGTCGCATTGTTCGATTTTTATGCATAAATATTTATAATTAATATCTACCAAATATTGCTTCATTTATTTCTGGCTCCATAGTATTATCTATATTTAATACAGATAATAAATACAGATTAATATCTACTTTATACATTTCCTATTAACCTTCTGTTGAGTGCATTTGATCAATTTAATACATTATGAATATTTTAAGTAATTTCTTAATGAATTCATCCTAGGTAAATTCGTTTTGGTTTTAATTTTTTGGTTTTTTAAAAAATTTTATATCATATATTTAATACTCAGCATTTGGTATTATATAGCTCTTTTAAACACATAGCATTTGCTTTTAGATTAACTTTAATGAAATGTTTCTACTTATTAGGTGCATTTATAAATGTTATATACAAAATATTAAAAAGGGATAGTTTAAAAATAGAGGTTCATACCATTTGCTTTATTTCCTGCTTTCTGCATCCATAACCTCAGCATTACAATTGCTTGTTGGTTAACNTACAGTAATACCCCGAACTTACGCGATAGATGGGACCGAGCGATAACTGCATAAGTCGAAATTGCGTAAGTTGGGGTATAATTTTGCAACTTGTGTAAAATCCAAGTCAGATGTATGTAAGCTAATAAATGTTCTCGTTAATCTTATATCATCTTTTGATTTGTTCACGGTTACAAGAAATCACCACATAGAGTCTCTCGAGTCTCCGTAGATATAACAAACACAAAAATAAATAACACAAAATAAATTGTAGCTATGTGTCAATTCCACACGACACGTCCGAACATGTAAGCTGAACAATAGTGTGGAGGGAGTGAGTATTCAAGAGTTTCATGGCGCTCAAACAAAAGATGAATCGACGAGATTTGAAAATCACGTAAGTCGGGGTAGCATAAGTCAAGGCATTACTGTATTGTAGCTGATAGAAGTTTACATTACAATATCAAAAATAAAACTAACCTTTTTTTTTCTAAACTGTATTTTTGTGTAATGACCAGCATGCCTGTCTATCAGGGGAGACCATAAAATCAGATATTTCCATATCATAAAAACCAGTATACCAGTTTATCCCAGGGGAATGCTCACATGCCAGTTTAACTGAGGTTAATACATCCCTCACTAGAGGGCACTTTAAAAAAATGAACAAGTTTATGTCATGTAAAAACTAATGCATTTCTATTCTATAACTGTGAAACTGTCAGCATTATATCAAAAACTACAACAATATATTTAATTTCTTCATTTTATCTTCTTTCTAATGACATAAAATACTTGTGGAATTCCAAAAGTGCTTTTTTCATATGTATTTCATTGTTATTTGACTCAAAAATGCAAAAATAAACATATTAAATTTAAGAAACTCTGTAAATTATCTCAGCTTACACCATTAATATTGGATTTGTGTGAAATTTGAGAGGAAAGTGTAATTTTTAAGGTCAGGGTAGATGGTCAGTGTAGCTTACACTGACTAACAACAACAACAACAAACTACTACTAATGTCAATAAGTCATTAATTGTTTTATTGTCTTGTAAACAAAAACGCTTCCTGATTTTAAGTTGGTCAAATTAAAATGTTATTATTTTATTGTACTCAAAAGAATGTTTTCTTTAACATTTAATTAACAACTACTTTTGTTAGATCTGATTAATTAATGCTATATTTTAGTCGCAATTTAACCAGCATGCCAGTAACCCCGAGATTTCTGGCATGCTGGTCTCCTCCATTTTGTGTGACATGCCAGTCATTCTGCTAAAATATGGTATAAAAATTAAAATAACTTATAAATTCACTAAAATATCATAAAAATAAAAGCAATTATAATTTTTTTCAAATTGTATATTGTAAAATTATATAATTTAACATTACATTATCTATTTGTAAGTTTTCAAAAATATTTGAGTTATACAAAATTTTATACTTTTAAGAAGATATTGTTTAATAATCATTTTCATTTCTATAATTTATGTTAAAAGTTAAAGCTGCATGAAGATCAATGTATGTCAATGTATGATATTGAAACAGTATATCTTATAAATAATTAATTTGTTTTATACTTTTTATTTAAATATGACTACTGTTTAAGTGAAAATAAATATAAAACATCTAAATTCTTATTTAACACTTATAAAATTTTTTATATTTGAACTTTAATTATTTGAAATAATTTCCAATATTTAAATACCTCAACATCTCTGCTTTTTGCTACTTCAACAAAATGTTCCTGTGATTCTAATGTCTTATCTTCTTTGTCATCTGTCATACAAAATACTCTTAAATGTGCCTCCATTGGATCATATCGCTTAGCGAATACAACAAACTTTGCCATGAAAGGCACATGAATAGCTTCTTTGTACAATTCTGTGGCAAACCTTGTTGCTTCGTTTACCTGTCTGCAATCCATTAGCCAAAACCTGCAATAATTTGAAGATAGTTCCTTTCATAAATCTCATAAAAAAATGTTGAATATTAAAATCAAAAATTAAGTCATGAAACCAAATTAATGTTTATTATATCTAAATATATAAAACTACTTGTCCTGACTGACTGAGTCACTGATTCATCATTGCCCAGAGCAAATCGCTGAACCTAGAGGTGAAATTTGGTACACAGTTAAGGTATGTCATGAAAATGCACACTAAGAAGGAATTTTTCGAAATTTCCCCCCATGGGGGAAAGAGAGAGGATTAAGGCTTAACCTAAAGAATGGCTTCTACTGTACTATTTTAGATGTACTTTTTTGTTCTCAACTACGTTTAGTCTTCATTGAGTACTCAGGTGTATTAAATTAATAACATTTCAGACATTGTTATAAATATTTTTATATATTTCGATTTTTTAACCAAATGTTCAAACTGTTTTAAATTTGAATTTGTTATTGCATATTGGTTTGATTATAGAATGATTGCAAACATTTCAGAAAATTGATCAAATTGAAAATAGTTTATTGATTCTCAGCAATTCTCAACATTCTCAGAGATAGGTGTTATGTAACAATTACTATGGTTGTTAAAATATTGAATATAAATGGGGTTTGCTTGCAAAACCTCTGCGGGTGAAGTTGCAGGTAACAGCTAGTTCTTTAATACTATTACAATCACCAGAATATGAACAGTCTTAACTAATAATATAATATTATTAAATTATTAGTCAAGACTGTTCATATTCTGAATATATTTTAAATACAGTTGTGAATTTTAACTTTACCTAAAGCTAATAAATTCTTAGAAGATAAAAATGCAAACAATCATGAATTCCACAACAATTTTTTAGTAACTAATGCTTTCAATCTTATTAAAAGGTCTTCAACAGGCTACATCACATCAAATGTCAAAAAATATTCGTAGAACATCTACTGATCAAACAGAAACAAATTTTGGAACATATAGAATTTAGAATGTTAATTTTATGTTCTTAGAAGAAAATTAATTACAAATACTATATATTTCCTTGTAAATGAAAGTTAATATAACTTATCTGAAGTTTATTTAATAGAAAATCATAATCTAATTCATATCATTTAACTTTGTATTATGATACAGCAAATAATTCTTCATTTTATTTAAATTTTGATGTGAACATCTATAGATAACTTGCCAGGTAGAGTATAATGCTCTATAAATCCAAAGCAAATGATTGTAGAAAGACAATTCAGATGTCAATGTCAACAGAAAAATCCAGTAACAAGTTGTGTAACTTTCCCAGCTGTCATGAGGTTTTATTTTAAAAACTTTTTATATTATTAATTATTGTTAAATGGTAGGAAGCTTAATTTTAAGAGTAGGGATGAAATTTACAAAAAATTGTAAATGCTAACACGCAATTATTTTATTGTGACATCATCACAATGCCATGCTACAATGTTCACCTCAAATTAGTACTGGCTTGCCCCATACATCATACTTTTCCTTTAATAATAGAANCACGCAATTATTTTATTGTGACATCATCACAATGCCATGCTACAAATTTTAATCATATTTTTAATTTATTTAATTTAAAATATATGCTCTCTACATCAAATTAGTACTGTATTATCTTGCCCCTGTACATCATACTTTTCCTTTAATAATAGAGTCATGCCAGTCATCTATCTAACTCCTTTCAGGGGAAAATTTTTTAATTGAAATAATATGACTTCTGGTTTGTAATGGAAGTTTATATATAGTTAATCAGGGCATCCTGCCCCTAAGCTTCCCATATATAATTTTGAATTTCATCTATCTAACTGCATTCTTGAAATGAAGGAAAGACAGATGACAGTGGGGAATTTATAGGTGTACAATTTCTTTCAAATTGCAGCCCAGTGATTATTTACTGATTACTCTGATTATTGAAAAATCTCTAGTTAATGCCATGTTAACCTGGAATGGGGAAGGATAATACTCATATGAATATATATGATAATACTCATATGAATATTATCCCAAATATGTTATATATGACATAACATATTTTTTTTCCTTTGGTATTACTGGTATTACTATTTAGCTGTTTGTGTCAATGTAATTTAGTAAACTGATTTAGCAAAATCAGTACTGAATTACGTTGATGCAACCTCTAAATATAACATATTGTTTATTATGAAGTATTAGAAAATTTACAAAATAACACATTACAAATATCTTTAGGTAAGATTCTAGCTCTAAATGATGGGAGTTGCCCCTTGGAAAGATCACCACCCTCTCATTCAAAGCAAGATTGATATCCATGACTGCAATTATCACGAACTAGGCTATTGTGTTAGAGAGAATCCGACTTCTTTTATATTCTTAAATACCTATTGTTTTGTTTAGTTACATTTATTTTGGGAATTTTAATTAGTTTAGAATGACTACTTCACACCACTCATGACCAGAAAAAACAAAACAAAAAAAAAAAAAATCTAAACTTATCCACTATTGTCTGTCACTCTGGATGCCATTACTAAAATCATTATCATTTCCAGAGGGAATTGCAAAGATAAAATTGATAACTCTTTTATTCCTTTGTCTCCAAGAGATTTTGATTGCTAATAAAACAATCTTTATAATATTTTAGAACTGGAGCTACTTTCAGCAAGGAAATATGGAAAAACTAAGATCAGAATAAAAACATGTAAATGAACAGATAGCACTGAAATGTCAATATACCAACCAGTATAAAATTATGTCTAAAGCTAATAGCATAATCCAGTCGTGTATAAATTTATTACATAATGATAAAGAATACTGGAGGTTTACAACATCCCCATTTATGATGATAGGATTTGTAGTATACATAGGTACCACAAATTGATCACTTTGGATAAAACTAAAAGAGCACAGCTATAACATCAATCACAATAAACCTATCATAGCATTAGCTTGTTATGCCACAGAACCTGGGTGATGATGTATCTAGGAGAAGCTAAATTGATTAAAAAAGTCTTTGACAAAAAACATAAGAGCATTGGAAATTCTGAAATTTAAAAAGCCTCCAAAGTCAGAGTATGTATCAACTCACAAGACTGAGATATTATAGGTCACCGAAGTCTAATAAGTATATAATTTTATTAGACCTCTTTACTATGTAATGCATCTTAACCAATAGTGTTGAAACTGGATGATTGAAACTACAACAGACACTGTTATAGCCAACAAAAACTTTTATTTTAAACAAAAAGAAGGAACACTACAACTTCACACGTCTGAAGAAAAACAAAAAAAAGGCGGGAAGAAAAATAGAGGGAGCTTACAGCAAAAATGACCAGTGTTGCCATTAATCGACAGATCATGAAAATGTTAATATTTTTATTTTCCAACAAATAGTCATTGCTGCTTTGAATTTTAAAACCAATGTCATTGAATAAACTGCACTTATTTGATAATTTAAAAAATTCCAAAGTGTTATAGATAGTTGAAGCATTCCATTTTTTTTTTAAAGGTTGGGACCTGAAGCAGACTGGTGAATTTAGTTGAAAACATTAGTCAGACACCAATTCCTCTGCTCGAAAAGTATTTGGTTGATATATTTAAGTATTTATTTTGCTTTAATAAAATAAAATTTAACAAGAAATTATTCAAATTCTCACAATATCTTTATTTTTATATAATATCAAACAATCTATCAATTTATAGATAATTGTTGCTTTCATGATAAAAGCAATTGATTTGGTGAATAATATTTGGAATCATAGCAATAGAAGATGAATTTCCATCCTGAAATTATCATTCCTGAGGAAAAAATCAGTTAACTATATTGGAAACATGTCATATTGTCCACACAGTTCTTAACTTGAGAAGAATCCAACAATAATGGGAATATATAGAAATATAAAAACAATTTTCTTTTATCATCATTATTATAAATAATTTAGATTTAGATTTTAGAATATTTTCTATTTAAGTTCAAGATGTTTTTAATCTCTTCATCTATTTTTGGAATTGACTATATTCCCCTTTTACCTGAGACATATACAAAAGTCAATTTTAGTAATTAGTAGTTTCCATTCTACTTAAATGGATTTATATCTTATAAAATAGGATTATAATGATAGCCAATCAAAGCTTATAATAAAACTAATAAGATGTAGCAAAATGAAATAAATAAGAGGAGGAGGAATTTAAATTTTTTGGATATCAAATGACAAAACAATTCACAAATTGTTACTAGATATTTGCAAAGATAATTCATATAATAAAAATGAATTACAAAATGAACATTCTATTTTAATACTTCAAGATAAACTAAGATAAGAAACAAACTATGATGATATCATATTTATTTAAATTGATAAAAACTGGTATGTATTTGTAATTTTAGATACAAATTTTGCAATTTAAGATTATTGCTTGATCAAGTAAATAAACATATAACATATGCTTGATCAAGTAAATAATATGCTTGATCAAGTAAATATGCTTAATCAAGTAAATAAATTTAGGAAATAAGATTCTCTTAGGGCAACAGAAAGTGCTTGAGAACAACCAAACATTATCAACTTCATTTTCAAAATGTATCATTAATGAGTTCTTGTGCAAATACCATCTGTATATATAGTTTAATGTCAACAGTTAAACTCATAAACATAAGGGAAAATACTAATGCACAAACTTGCTAATGAAATATCTAATAAGAAACAAATGAAAAAATTATAATAATAATATAAAAAGATTATAACAACCAGAAATAACATTAAATCATTACCATTGTTATAATTCTGTAATATTAACATAATAATCTTGCATTTAGTAGTTTCTTATTAGATATTTATTTGTTTTAGAATTTTAGAAGACATTTTTATGACAGTTAATATATCTAGTACTTAATAAAAATTAAAACTGGTGTAATTAATTTTAAAAATTCAAATTATTATTTTGATACATTCACAATTTAATAAAGATAATTACCGTGCAGAAACTGTGGTTGTAAACGATACACAGTCGTTAACAAATGTGAGTGGTGTTGAACCTGTAACATCTTCCCACTGAGCTTTAGTTGTACCACCTGAAATAAAATAAATAGAACACATAAGATTGAAACTGATTCCTTATATTTAAAAATTATCATCACTATTATTGTTGTATTGTGTTCATATTTTTTTGTAAAAATTCATCAAAAAATTGATACATGTATCAATTTTCTTTCTTTGTTTCTTTTTTCAAGAGTTACTAATGAAGAGGGGCTATGATAAACTGAACAAATACAAAATGATTTAACTATAGGATACACTTAAAACTTTAAGGTTCATATTTTAAAAAGAATGAATTTATAAAAACTGGGATCTATAAAGTACATAATAAATAAACAAAACACAGCCACTTGCTGAATTCTGAAATCAATTAGCAGCTCCGGATAACTTGGTAACATAGCACAATGAAAAACTGCTGGAAAGAGAAGAAACATGTAAGGAGAGAAAACAATAAGGCACATGAACACAAAAAGAAAAAGAAAAAAAAAATGAGAAAAGACTGCAATGTTATTTTAAAATATTAATAATGCTGTGTAAGTTTAACTTTTATGGCAGCACAACACATTTTGTGAATGTTAGTGATAAAAAAAAATTATGCATAGATAATAAAAAGCCATACTTATTTCCACACCTATATTTTAAAATATTTAGATAC